TGAGCTATTAGTTAAGTTCTCCCCAAGCGAGCTCGATGGGCCGAATGGCCTCCTCTCGTTTGTATAGTTCTTATGTTCACTCACGCAAGTCGGCATTAGGCGGTCGAAACACAGAAAAATTCCACAGCCTCGGAGATGCTCGCGCACCGCTGATTTAGGGACCATCACCGAATTACTGTCAGAATAATAAAATACTGATTGCTTGCAATAACTTCAATGCAATGGGACCCAGTAACTCCAAAATGAGTGCATATTCTACAACTACCTGACGTACACAGGACACAGTGAATTTTACTCATTTAAAACACTTTATTGTATTTTATACGATTATTTTAAAAGGAAAAATGGGTAAATAGATTTATTTCAATAGCTTCTAGGCCAGGGGTGCCCAACTCCGGTCCTGGAGGGCCAGAGCCCTGTGTAGCTTAGTTCTTTCCCTGTTCCACCATAAATGACTCAGCTCAAGAGCTGTGTGGTAATTAGCATAAGGAGTTGAATCAGGTGTGTTAAATGAGGGGAAACCCAAAACTGTGCAAGGCTCTGGCCCTCCAGGACTGGAGTTGGGCACCCCTGTTCTAGGCAATGGGAGCTTATGACCCCAGAATGGGTGCAAATTACACTATTACCTGAGCACTATAGGACACAGCAACTTTCATTCGATTTTAACCCTTTGTTTACTTGATATAATTTTTATTCTCTAAAATTAGGCCTTTTTTTTCAAAAGTTCCTAGGCCGTGGGAGCCTGCGACCCAAAACTAGGTGCCAATTGCTATGGGCTGAGACGATCTGTCTTAAGTCGTCTTGCTCTCGCGAGATTTTTGTACCATGTGACATGGTGACGTTTGGCAGCGCCAGTTTCAGACTTAAGTACCCTATGTGTGCCGGATGCACGATCGGTTCTGCGCATGCGCCGCCATGTTGCTGCACGATCGGACCCACGAAATGCTTTCCGGAGCCGCACATAACAGACAGTTTATAGCGAAGCTTTGAATCAGTAGTGTGTATATACATATATATAAATATATATATAATTTTTGAGAGCTGTGCAATATATGTATGTATATGATCGTAGCACTGTATTTAAACAGTTAAAAATATATATAATTACACATGCATTGTTTATTTATTTTAAGTTCTTTCTGTGAATTATTTATTTTTAAACTACTTTTCTAAATGACCTGATTTGAGTGTCCTTTTTTATTTCTGAAATCCATCCTTTTTTATTGCAGTGTTCTACGGGACATTTATGTTCGACTTCTGGCAAAATAAATAATATTTAAGGTACAATAATGTTATGATGTCTTCACATCTCAGTTTGGAATAAAAAGGTGGTTTGACAGTGATTTGATTCATATCGTGATATATATCAATATCGACTGATATGGAAAAAAAATATTGAGAGAAGATTTTTCCATATTGCCCAGTCCTAATATGACATCTACATTTAACATTATATTTAACATTTACATTTATATTTAATGAGGCGACACGGTACTGCAGTGGTTAGCACTGTGGCCTCACACATCTGGGACCTGGGTTCAAGTTTCTGCCAGGGTTCCATATGTGATCAGTTTGTATGTTCTCCTTGTGTTGTTGTGGGCTACGCCTGTTTCCCCCCACATACCAAAAACATGCTGATGCTAACTGGAGTTACCAAATTGTCTGTAGGTGTGAGTGGTGTGTGATTGTGCCCTACAATGGGTCGGCACCCTGTCTTGGGTTGTTCCCTGCCTTGTGCCTGTAGCCTCTGGGAACCCCCCATGACACTATATAGGATAACCAGTTTCAGAAGATGGATGGATGGATTTATATTTAACATTTACATTTTACATAACTGTCTCTCTAAATGTTTGAAAAAGTGAAAGTGAAGTTGAAAATCATTTTTTTTACATTAAGCAATGCTAAACGTGGAAAAAACGAGCAGAATTACAGAACGTGAAATATTTTACAAATGGCACCCCATACTGTTCCCATTCATTCTGGCTAAATACAAATTTCCCATGGGACACCCCTTAGTCATTCATTCAAATATTAAGCCTCTGAATACAAACAGCACCCGATAGTACAGCAATGTAAAATCCACGTATCGAATGCGCTTGTCATCCTGGACATTGTGGCCAAATTATCCACGCTTAAAATGTGCTGTGCATGCATAGGCGTACAATTACTGTATCAGATTGCATAGGAAAATAACATTCTGAGATATGTCGTCAAATTTGGCTCATATAACCAAATGTACATAAAACCATTGAATTCAAACTGTATTTACTTTAAAATGGTATAGAAGTTGACCATATTTTGCCTGTCCATAACCTATAGTATGTTGCCTTTCAGAAAGTATAAGATTTGTTTATGCATTACAGGAAAGTACGAATTTCATACGTCTTGTACTTCATGCATGTGACTATACGTAAATCACCCATTTTCTATGCACGATCGCTTAAAGAGTATTCTATGTATTCTATATCAATAATAATAAAAATAATAATACATAAAATTTTATTGAAGTGATCACATTGACCCAGTGATCTCTGTGACTTTTAAGTGAACGCAGTGTGTCAGACTGGATGTGTAAGCAAACATTTGAGTCTGTTATAAGACTACAATTTTTACGTTAAAATCATGAGATCCCCGCAAACTCCACATTCTGCCCAGGCTGTACCCTGGCCTCGTGTCCTGTGCTGTCAGGAACAGGCTACAGCCAGAGGTGGGCACAAATACTGAAAATCTGATTCCCGAACAATCTCTTAAGATATCGTTTAATGAAGATCTTAATTGTGACCTTAATAGTAACAGGTGTTGTGCCAAAAAGTGACTGTCTGCCAGAAACTGATTACGATCTGCGGGAACGCGCACAGCCTGTTCAAGACGCATCGCAGTTTCAGTGCGACTACAGCGGCCATTTTCGATATCAAATCGTCTTAAAGTGCAAAAACTATACAGTACATGTCAACTAATAGTTAAGTTATGTCTTTGTCACATTTAAGGGTTTGGTGAATTTTTAAATAAATAATTGTAATAAGAGTCATTGTTATCAGCTATTGGGCGACACACAATAATTCCAACTTTACCCTGATGTCTTGTACATATAGTAGTTCTTTTTGCATGTATATAGTTTTTTATAGTTTGGTCTTGCAAGCATCTGTTGTGTGTCGCCCACTAGCTGATGACAATGACTCTAGTAGTCAAATGAATAATCTAATAGAAAATATAATTTTCGACGATTGGGTGCACGAACCCGCCTCCACAGATTTTAGTATCACCAGTTTATTTTTATTTGTTCTATAAAACACCTGCATGCACCAATATGTATACATGTCATTGTTACTGGGACGAGCTATAGTACAACGAACAAAAGGAAAATTGTGTTACTGTCTTAAAATAAGAGAATGTCCTATGTTTGTCAGTACTGACTACTATAAGGACTATTCCATGGAGATTTTTTGGGTAAAATATAAACTTACATGTAAATGAACCTGCAATGTCGGCTCTTATCAACCTCATAAAGTTTTGATATACTGTGACTTTGGACAAGCGAAAACTCAAATAAGAAACTGTTTTTGAGCATATATCTCAAAAAACGGGGCCAGCGCCAGTGACGCATAAACTATGCACCGTCAAGTTCACCAGGCGGTTCTCCCTTTTACACAAGCTCGGGGGCTACGTTTACGTCAACATTTAGCTGGTAGAAATTAATGTTGTCCTTAGGAACAAAATTAGCTACCCTGGTTTATTCATATATGACAAACCTCAAGATGCTACTGCCTTATCGTGCCTGTTGAAAATAGCTAGAACGCCACTAGCAGGCTACGCAGAGCACTGATGTTTGATGATTGCTCTATTTTTATGCCCAGTGAGTAGATATTACTCAGTGAGTAATATCTAATGGTATATATTTACTACATACTTTACCTTAAGGGAATTCGCACTGAGCACCCATCGATTATTGAAAAGGATGCTTAAATTGGTCCGTTTATTTTTTCCGCCACCTGCTTACAACGGCCAGCCTCTGTTGCGTCCCTATGGGCTGATATTTGTGCCACTAGAAACTGAATATGAATTTTGTATATTTGAATCTGCAGTTATCCGCATTACAAAACTGAATCTGAATTTAATAATTTGAATTTGAATTCCAGTAACTCGAAATAGCATTTATCCTACCTCGAAAAATTCAGTTCGCAAATTCAATTTCAATCTAGTGTGACACACATCCGGGTCCTTGAGAAAAAGTAATCGACCGCAGATTCACAACGCAACTCATTTCCACGTTTACGACAGTTCTGCAGGTCGGGGTAAAGAGGAGGCGTGTGCCGGGATGTCAGAAAAACAAATGCTGGATTCGCAGGTTTGTCATTACCTTACGATACATATGAGAATAAGCTTTATATATACGAGCGATAACATAAGCATTAACCATACGTCTGGTTAGTATATGGTAGTATATGTGGTTTAATTAACGATTTCTGGCACTTCTAGTTTATGTTAATATGGTAGACTAACCCAAAACTAGCTAGGGATAGTAGGGATATGAATTTTACTTCTAGTTTAGTTTAAGTTATGGCTTGCCTGTTCATTTCATGTGGCTTTCTAGCAGTCTTTATGCTAAATATTTTTTTAAATATTCATCTCGTCGATATGAGGCGGAAATCAGTATTAATTTTATGTATGTAATATTATTTAGAACTTAATAATGCATAGAGAATGTAAATATGACCAATAAAGTTATGTCCATGGAATGACATTTTTGTGGTGTTCGTGACTCTTTTCCTTTCTTAAACACCTGCATTACTAGCGTGTTTTGGTAATGAAAATTGCCTATAACTGATTACATAAAACATTACATTTTTGTGGAGAAAAAAACACTGAATATGAAATATTAAGCAAATGTGTTTACATCCGCGATACACTCAAAATGGCGAATGGGGGCGTGTTAGGCAGTGCAGAAACGTGACTGACAAAGACCGATGCAAGGTTTGCTACTGAAGGAAGGGATTCGCAAAATTTCACGGCTGGGTGTTTAAAAAAACACAACTAGACATGGTCATGTCGCCATTATTTTCAGCCGAGGGACCAAATAGTAAAATAGATGATTGACAAACATCATCTAGGGGTGTTGATCAAGGGAGAAAACAACGATGGTGAATGGTTGAAGAAATGATGATGCTTAAGTGACGAGATATTGTTACACGATAAGAAAATGTATAAACAATTAGTGTAAAACAGTATTGGACACACTCCTGCAGGGTGTCCAGCCTTGGCTGTAACCTCACTGTGGCAATAAAGGCTGAATCTGAAGATCTACACAAGCGGCTCCTGACTCCTGATTGGCGGGGGAGAAAAAAACACAACACGAATGCATCGGTACACATACCCCCCTGTATCGATCTAAATGTAAAGTTATAAAGCGGGTTTGAGGTGCTATGCGTCTTGTCTGCTGCATGTCTACAGCGCTCTCTGTGTACTGTGCTAACCGAAAACATCAATTGGACTGGCGTTTAATATGGTGATCTGTATAAGCAGTGCTCTAAGTGGAGAAATAGAAGTGTCGCTACTGTATTGACCGTGAGAACGGCGGCGGGGGTGTTGGGAACAACAGGAGCGCCTCAACAACACTGACAGTACGGCGTGCGGTGAGAAGTGGTGGTACGATAAAGATCCCACATTTGCACTTGCGACATTCCGGCATACGCCTCCTCTTTACTCCGACCTGCAGAACTGTCGTAAACGTGGAAATGAGTTGCGTTGTGAATCTGCGGTCGATTACTTTTTCTCAAGGACCCGGATGTGTGTCACACTAGATTGAAATTGAATTTGCGAACTGAATTTTTCGAAGTAGGATAAATGCTATCTCGAGTTAGGTGTGTCACACTAGATTGAAATTGAACTCGCAAAATGAATTTTTCGAGGTAGGATAAATGCTATTTCGAGTTACTGGAATTCAGATTCAAACTATTAAATTCAGATTCAGTTTTGTAATGCAGATAACTGCAGATTCAAATATACAAAATTCATATTCAGTTTCTAGTGGCACAAATATCAGCCCATACGTCCCGCCCACTTCTCGTCCAATCATCGTCCCGATTGGCCGTTACTCTCCACTCGGAGCGCGTGACGTTGCTGTAAACAGCAGTATTTAAGGAGGTAAAAGCCGTCCTTTTTAAAAGGGGTTCATGTGTCAACAGTGATTGAACGGTACTTCCTAAGTCTGTGGTTTTTTTGTGGGTTTGTTTGTTTTATTGGTAACAGTCGCAGTGATGGAGACCTCCCAGATCCGCCAAAACTACCACCGCGATTGTGAAGCTGCCATTAACCGCATGGTGAACATGCAGCTCTTCGCTTCCTATACGTACATATCCATGGTGAGACTTTTTGATGGTAGGATGCATTTTGCCGTACCCTGCTTAGCTGCTTTTTTTCGCTGTAACCGTCAGCGTTTTTCATCGTATCATCTTATTTGGTTCTGTTCGTGATGGCGCTATGCCCGCTCCAGGTGGCTGGGTTGTGTATGATGTAACCTTACCTCCCCGTATCTCCAGGCCCATTATTTTTCTCGGGACGATGTCGCTCTCCTTGGTTTCTCCCACTTCTTCAAAGAGAGAGGAGAGGAAGAGCATGAGCATGTAGAGCATCTGATGGCCTTTCAGAACAAAAGGGGTGGCCGCAACTTTCTGCAGGACGTCAAGGTGGGTGCGCTCTGCCTCACCTGTTGGGCTAGGGTGGCTGCTGTGTTTGGTTCTGAGCCTGTGGCTTCCTTGTCCGCAGAAGCCAGAGCGGGATGAGTGGGGCTCGGGGCTGGAGGCGATGCAATGTGCCCTGCAGTTGGAGAAGAATGTGAACCAGTCCCTGCTGGAGCTGCACAAGATGGCCACTGACAAGACTGACCCGCATGTGAGTTGCAGTGTGTGAGTGCTCCTGCTGGGGGTGCTGTGTGTGTTCATTGTCAGCTAATGAGCTTTCTTGCCTGCCAGATGTGTGACTTCCTGGAGACTCACTGCCTGAATGAGAAGGTGAAGACCATCAAGAGAATGGGTGATTACATCACCAACCTGTCCAAGATGGATACTGCAAACAACAGGCTGGCAGAGTACCTGTTTGACAAGCACACCCTTAAGCACAGCAGCTAAGGCCTCCCTCGGGGGTGTATCACCACCAATGCCCCCCCCCCACCCGGACCCTGCTATGCCTCTTGTGCTGTTTTTGTTAAAGTTGACTTGTGGAAGTTTGTCAGGTGTGGTGCTGTTCAGTACTGAAGGTGTCTTGGAGCTGATCACTAGGGCTTGAGCAGAATCCAATAAAAATGTCTGCTGTGACTTGTCTAATCGTGTTCCCTCTTGGAGCTGTGGGTTCATGGTGCTAAACTTCACTGCTAGGACCTTTTGCCATCTATAGCCATGAATCTCAACTGAGTCTTTGCTGACAAGCACAAGCTTATTGAATAGCTGGTGAAGGTGTGCTGGAAGCTGGAGGGGAGTAGAAATATGAGCTGGGTGTCCCTCAGGACTGGTTTTAGATGCTGATCATAAAGTGAAGCTGGAGGGTTTTTAGCTGTTTCCACTCGACCTGTACACAAGTGTAAACCGGTTCACTAGCAGAGTGAGTTGTGAAGCTGGATGGTAACTCGATTAGTAAAAAAGGGGGAAGATGTGCATTCCTCCATTTCCCTTTGACCCATTACCAGAGAAATGGTTGAGAGGGTGGGATTAACCTTTTTCAATTTGATTGGAACAAGTATATGCTGCAGCCTGACAGCAGGAGGGAGATTAAATCAAATGCTGGTTTAGTGACTTGAATGGGCTTTGGGGAGAGAGGAGTTTAAGGCCCAATGTATCTGGCAAGGGGATTAGGGTTAGTAAGAGAGTGACAGTAACACAGGGCTGTTCACAAACCACTGACAAAGAGGAAGTATTTTCTTACCTGGTAAGTCATGCCTATTTCATGTCTTTATAGTCGTCCTCTGAGGGCATATGTACTTGACTCGTAAAAATGAATTGAAACCGAATCCTGTGTTTAGCTGCCTATCACAAGGGAGGTGATTAGGGTGAATTATCGCATGAAACTCTGGTGTTTCCTGCTTATGGCAGGAACTTACAGGAAATAGTTCTGCAGAATATCCGAGACAGAGCAATCTTTGCAATATTTAGTATATGAGTTTAAAATGTTCCACCACTGCTTTTGCATGAGCTCTGCACACGCTTTCCAAGCCATTCATAATCATTTTTGTCCTTGCTATTTAACATTTATACTCCTGGAGAGATTTGTGAGAAATTAATTTAATTTGAACTCCTTTTTTTTTTTATTAAAAATACCCAAATATTTCTAACAAAATCACATACCAATAATTGATTTTTTTTTTCCAATATTGTGCAGCCCTAGTATATTATAGCAAATATTTTATTTATCATGTCATCCAGATCTGATTCTTCCTACCAGATTGCATTTATCATGAGTGACACAGAGCATTTTTTTAATGAATTTTTTTTTTAACTTTGTTCATTGATGTTTTCTGAGTTTGTAACTTTTTCATCCAGCATCTCAGTCCTCTTGTATGTCAGTCATTCCTTATCTTGCAGTGATCCTACATTTCACTTATTGCATGGCTTCCTGATGTATGCAATACATGCAACTTCCAAGAATGTGCTGCTGTGCTTTGAGGGCTTTCTGCTCTCACCCAGGTCCACTGAGTGTCACTCAGCATGTCTGTGTGCCACTGTGACCAGGGGACAGGACAAGCTATCCTCTGTTTTGCTTAAGCTTTGGGATTTCTGGATTAACGTCGGCATTTAATCTTGTTAGTTCCTGGTGGTGGGGTGGGGGGGTAGGTTGTCACAGGATTATGATCATGTTGGATGCACTGTGTGGATTTTCCTGCATGGGTCATTGGCTCCTGGGGTTGTAGGGGTGTATCTTGGGTCCCAGGGCACAGTGACAGACTGCAGGGGATCCCATACGGGTCACAGGGCACCGGGGGTGTATTCCAGATCCCAGGGCTCAGACACAGGCTGCAGGGGATCCCATATGGGTCACTGGGCACTGGAGGTGTATTCCAGGTCCCAGGGCATGGAGTCACACTGCAGGGGATTCCATACGGGTCACAGGACTCAGCACAAACGCACACACAGCTGAAGTATGTGCTGCAAATTTCATGCTGATTCGTTAGTTCCTGCATATTGGGTAAAGTGTGTGGTGAGAAAAAATATGACAAAAATATGAGCAGGACAGAATCTTACGGGAGCAGGTGGGAGCGGTAGAGAGTCTTGCTGGAGCAATTGGAAGCAGGGCAGAATCTTATGGGAGTGTAACAGAATCTTGCAGGAGCAGGCGGGAGCGGGATGGAATCTTGCGAGTTGGAGTAGGACAGAATTTTGGAGAAGTGGGCGGGAACGGGATTTAAAGTTCCCTCCTGCCCAGTCCTCTATTTCAGTGATGTTGATGCTGGTACTGGTGTCTCACTGTTTTCATTTTGTCCTTCTGAGGCTGAGGAGCAATGCGATTGGCCAATTTGAAGGTCCTCCCCAGGGTTCGCCGGGCAGCAGGGCCAGAACCCGAGTGGGAGGAACCTGAGTGGAAGCCGCAGCACGAGCATGAAGCAGCCCCGGGCCCCGCCGCCCATCCACACCATCCAAGCCACAACTTTGACCACATGAAGAACAAGTTCATGAACGAACAGGGCAAGCTGCCGAGTGGGTAACTTGGATGCTGAGAGCGCACCCTTGTGGAGGTGCAGCAAAGGGAGGGATGGTAATTTGCTGAATGTTTTTCATTTGACCCCATTTCTCCATCCTCTCCTCTCTCCCATGTCTCGCTGGCCCTCACCTCTCCACGAAAGACCACAGTCATAAGAGTAAGTTCCTCCTGCTTTCAGTGCATCCCTCAGGCTCTCAGGCTTCCCCTCGCTCCTTCTGCCTTTCCACCCTGCCCCACCATACTCTCTCTCTCTCTCTCTCTCTCTCTCTCTCTCTATCATTGCGGCTGCATCACAAGTAAATCACTGAAGCTATTGAGTTAAAATCAGTCTATAACATTTACCTAATGCAGACACAGGTGCAGTGCAGTTGACTTACCTGGCTAGCAGTGGCCGAATAGCCCTGTGCTGCACTGAGGCTGCCTTGGCAGCCTTACGGCACAAACTCTGGGAGTGTGATGACGCTTACGGGCTCCTGGCCCTGCCTGTTGCCTGTCTATGCCCCCCGCAGTGCCCGCTTGGGCCGTCGGTGCCATGGTCATGCTGTTTCTTGCCCTGGTGGGGTGCTGCGCATTCTGCATTGTCAAGAAATGTATCGGCAAGAAGAAGAGAGCCAAAAAAGCACGAGAGAGGAAAACAGGACAGCGTCGAAGGAAAGGTGCAGAGGGTGAAGGAGAGGAAGCGAAGGTGAGGGCAGAGCTGGACCTCTGAGAACATTGAGGGCAGGAGTGCTCAGCCCCGTTTCCATTCCTCCAGCCCACTGATTCCACATCTGGCATCCATCATGTTCTCCTGGGGCACTTTCGCAGGCTGAGAGGCCCTGTGGGCTTTTATCTCTAATCTCCATCAGAGATACATATCGCCATGATGATGAAGTGTTCCATCTCCCACAGGAGGAAGTGGAGAAGGAAGGGAAGGAAGAGAAGGAGCGTGAGAACCTGGGCAAGCTGGAGTTTACCCTAGATTATAATTTTACTGATAATCAGGTCAGCCTTTACTTGAATCTTCATCTCTGTTGGCCAGAATTTGCTGATGTGGTTTTCTGGTGTAAGTCATCATCATTTTCATCTTTATTCTCCTAGCTGATTGTGGGCATCCTGCAAGCTCAGGATTTGGCTGCGATGGACATGGGCGGCACCTCAGACCCCTATGTCAAAGTCTACATGCTTCCTGACAAGAAAAAGAAGTTTGAAACTAAGGTCCAGCGCAAGAACCTGAGCCCAGTCTTTAACGAAACCTTCACCTTTAAGGTCTGTGGCCCATTTTCCCTCACCGTTTTCCCCCATAATAGCAGCTTCCAGGTCATTGTTGTTGGTGATGTGATCAATGTCTCCCACCTGTACCTATTCATTGTTGGTGTGAAAAATGAGCGTGATGTCATTGTTGTTGTCATTGTAGCCTTGAATGACACCTGAAGGAGAGATGGTACTTTTTTTAGCAGAACTGCACTGTGTTGTTAATAGCTTGGGGACTCTGCTCTCCTACCGCTGCATGTAGACAGACTGACACTTCTCCTTTGCTTCCCCCTGCCCCTTAGATCCCCTATGCGGAGCTGGGCGGGAAGACGTTGGTACTGCAGGTCTACGACTTTGACCGTTTCTCGAAGCATGATGTAATCGGCGAGGTCAAGATCCCCATGAACACAGTGGACCTGGGGCGCCCCATGCATGAATGGAGGGATTTAGAAAATGGAGAGAAAGAGGAGGTAGCCAGCTGTCACTATGCTCTCTAGTAGCCAGCTTTTCCTATGCTAGCTTCTTCACAGTACTTCCCCTCTTCGGTACTGGGGAAGAACATTAGTCTGATGCAGAAGTGGAAAGTTCAAGTTCAGAAAGTACAAATCCAGACCAAGGTTTTGTTTCAGCCAACTAGTTGAGCATAAAGAGTCACATTCACATAGCACTGAACTGGTTAGATGAAACAAAATCTTGGCCTGTATTTGTACTTTCTGGACCTGAACTTTTCCCTTCTGGCCTGATGTCTCATCTCCTTCTCAGCAAGAGAAGCTCGGTGATATCTGCATCTCCCTACGTTACGTTCCCACTGCCGGCAAACTCACCGTCTGTGTGATGGAGGCCAAAAACCTCAAAAAGATGGACGTTGGTGGTTTGTCAGGTGATTCCTCAGATATACCACGTGGTACCTTTTCTGTTGGCATAACAACGTCACTGCTGTCCATGCTAGTGGATGGGCTCTCTCACTTACTGTGCCATCGTGCCAAACTTTCCCCCTCACCTCAGACCCCTTTGTCAAGATTGTACTACAACATAACGGGAAGAGGCTGAAGAAGAAGAAGACGACAGTGAAGAAGAACACCCTCAATCCCTACTTCAATGAGAGCTTCAGCTTTGAAATTCCTTTTGAGCAGATACAGGTTTGTCCAGTGCACGCATGCAGTGCTGCAGTGCAACTACAGACAGATAAGTTGGTAAGTCATTTTAATGCTTCTGCTTTTATTCTCTTCTCTATGGCAGAAAGTGCAGGTTGTAATAACGGTGTATGACTACGACAAACTGGGAAGCAATGACGCCATTGGCAAGACCTTCATTGGCTACGGTGCTACGGGGGCGGGGCTCCGTCAATGGTCAGAGATGTTGGCCAATCCCCGACGCCCGGTGGCTCAGTGGCACACTCTGATGCCAGAGGAGGAGGTAGACGCAGCGCTGAAGGGGCCTCATCGCTGACATGTTACCGTGAAAGCATACGGTAGCTCCATCGCTAACGTGCCCACAGCTTAAATGGTAATCCTAACCTACGGTAACCATCACTCTTTAAAAAACAAGTTGCTAGTCCATACAGTATGTAACTTGACTCATACACTAGTTTTTTTTATTGTTGCTTGTAAGGGTAGTAGTTTGAAGCCTTTGGTCATATTTGAAGTGTTTTGTAAAGAAGTGTATAATTAAAATATTCTAAATGTGTGTGTGTGTTTTACTAAGGAAAAAAACAATATATGACAGTTATTCCTATGTACAGTAGAAGGTGCAGAATTTAAGACTATAATAATAATCATTATTTATTTAAAAAATATTATTTTAGCTTTATCCTGGGTGAACTGCAGTGCTTCCCTATGACCACAAGGTGGCAGCATGCTGGCAAATGAACCACTTTACATATTAACATACAGATGTCCATATTCCACCTGCTTATCCCATACAGGGCCATTAGGGGGACCTGGAGTCTGTCCCAAAGGGCACAGAGCCCAAAGCAGGAGACATCCCCTGTGGGTAGGATGCCAGTGACACACTATGGAAATGTTAGAGGAACCAGTTCAGTTATGTACACATATCTGGTGAGCTGGGGGGGTGTTGTTTGTGTTTTTGTGTGTGTTTTTGTGTGTGTGTGTGTGTGTGTGGGGGGGGGTTGAGGCCGGAGTGCAAACAAAAGACACTGTTCACTTTATACTACTGCATTGAGAGAGGTAGATTTTAACAAGTAGGGAGTATCTTTTCAAAACAAGGCCCCACCCACACCTCGTTTTCTATACGTAAGGTTTATTTTTATTGCTCTTGACTGAATATCCAAGGCATGAGCAGGATGCTGCCAGAAAGCTAGAGGTGGAATAACCACCCAAATGTTACGCGGCCTGTCAGTCTGGCTGTGCACTGCTGTTGCTGTAGAGTTGGGGGGGGCACGCTTAGCTCCTCCCCCTGCCCCGCCCCCGACACAGCTCCGTTGCGTCTTCACACGCTGCCCTATTTCCAGCGGCCGCCGACTTTGCCCTTTCCGTGGCCTTTTTTACTGCGGGGAAGAGAGGAGGAAGAGGATGAGGAAGAGGACGAGCCAAAGTGAGCCTCGTAGCATTAGTATGTTCAGTAATGAACTACACTGTATTATCTATGCAAATGGCTATACAGTTAATTAAGGACATCTCAAATATATAAGACGTCAGGAAATAGATTTTTCTTACAATTTCTGGGCATGGGAAATTCTATTCAGCAGCACAACAATCTGAAAAAAAAAGATCATGAAGATTTCAAACAAAAAAATTGATGCAGACACCTCTTCACCTTCAGTCGGTAATATCTGATTGTACTCGAGGAAGCAACACACCTCATATTTCTGTCTTTTCATCTGGTCCATGAAGTCAAATTTCTCAGATTCCAGCTGATAGATCCCGTTCCACATTTCTTGTGCTCGAGCTCTGGAGCACATCAGATTGGAGAGTATCAGTGTACCCGAATGAGGTCACGCTAATCAGTATAGCTGCGACAGCACTGTTCTTTGTAGGCATAGTCATGATGTCACAATGCAGCAGAGTTATGATGTCCCTGGAGCACTGCGGAGTCATTTCAGGGTTGCCTGGGCAGTGTTAATCGGTGGGGTGCTGGTGCGCGTCTGTGGCGGGTCACCTTAGTCCATCCTCCCGCATGCTGTCGATGGCCAGAGGGTTGCGTCGCTCGTTTAAAGTCTTCTTCTTGATCTCCCTTCCAGTCAAACGCTTACCCCTCCTCTGTTCAGCCTGGGGCCAGGAGGGATCGGCCATAACACACACTGTATCCACTCTCACTACAGCCTTGTTTACTCTCATTTCACTCAGTGTGACCACTCTCACTGCAGCCACATTTACTCAAATTTCACACACTGCACCTACTTTCACTCCAGCCTCGTTTCTTCTTATTTCACTCACTGTACACACTCACTGCAGCCTCATTTACTATCATTGCACACACTGCACCCACTGTTTATTCTCATTTCATACACTCAACTCACTCTCACTGCAGCTCATTCACTGTATATAGTACAACTTCTAGTTCAGAGATGAGCATTATTAAGATACTCTGAGATATTTCAGTGACATTATCGAGTTACAAAGGTGACTCGGACCTTAGCCAGGAAGCCTCCAAAGTTGGCCCCCATATTGGAGAGCACCTTCTTCTTCTTGGCTTCATCGTCTGCACGCTTCTTGGCTTCTTCGTCCTCTTTCCTCTGGCGTTCCTCCTGAGGATGGTACACTTTCAGGCCCTGTCTGCTCGTGTCCCACAGACGAAGGAACAGCTGAGTAAGAAATGCCAAAAGCCCTCATCTCACCGCGATTCTCGTCTGCCTGTCGCGCTCCTTCTCGGCTCGAACCCTCTGCTGCTCCGCCCTCTCGGACCGACGTCGCTCCTGAGGTGGGGGACAGAGAGCAGAGTGCTGTGCTCACACCTACACTTAAAAATATTATATTCCAAAAAATCCTGACACACTTTAGAGCTGCCAGACTCAGGATGCAGGAGAAAACCAAACACAGTGTCAATTCGCCCGTTACAGAGCACAGGAGAAGAGGCTGACCACAGAAGAAGCTGAGAACAGCAAAAGAAGCTGAGCACAGGAGAAGAAGCTGAGCACAGGAGAAGCTGAGCATAGGAGAAGCTTAGCACAGCAGAAGAAGCTGTGCACAGGAAAAGAGGCTGAGCAAAGGAGAAGCTGAGCACAGGAAGACACAGTCTGGTCCTTGGTGACAGATATGGACAACCAGCAATCAGTGTGAGAGAGAAACATATGAGTGAATTGCGCTCCTTGACTGGCGCGGAAGGCAGTGAGGTGGAACTAACAATCCTCTCCTTCAGTGCAATGAGCTCCTCTTCCTCTTTCTTCCTCTGCTCAAAATGGACGTCGATCAGGGTCTGCAGCTCCAGGAAGTCCTTCTCCATCCTCTTCCGGTGGATGTCCTGAGGAAGGAGGACATCAGCTTTTAAGTACATACTATTCATGTGTTTATTTTAAAACATTTTCCCCCTTTTGTAACTCCAGAAGTATTACAGCTGGTCATGCTGAGAATAGCTCAAAGTCTAAGATGGTGTCAGACAAAACCAGCTCACATCAAAGTCCACCCTTTCCCCCTCTGGGATTTTCGGGGCGGCAAGCTGAGGAACCATGGGCCTGTGAAGGAAATGGAAAAGAAAAAAAAAGAGTGAAGGGGTGATGGGTGCTGCACACTCGATCATATTCATGCATAAGGGCATCAGGGCAAGGAGACACAGAGATACACGTACTTGGGTCGAGGGCGTTCCTCCTCTGCGATGTTGAGAGAAAGAGAGAGAGAGAAAGAGAGAGAGAGGGTAAAGTGTCACTGGCTGCGCAAAAAGAGCAACAGTGGTGTCTTTATAAGCTGCCCTACACTGCAACAAAGGGGACTTATGAGGACAGAGGGGAACCAGGGGAACATAAATGATTCAGGGGGACAGAAGGGACTCAGGGGGACAGAGGTGATTCAGAGGGACATAGGGGACTCAGTGGGGACTCTGAGGAACACAAGCGATTCAGGGGGACAGAGGGGACTCAGAGGCACCATATCTATGAAAACAGTAAATGCCCGTTTACTGCACAGGCAGAGAGGTGGGGTCCCAGCCTGGGGGAACGTGCGTGAAAGAACAGGGCGGAGGATGGAGCAGAGGACATGCCGGGAGTTCACCTTCCTCATGCGTCTCCTGCTCTGATAGGAGGGTGGGATAGATGGCAATTCAAGGGAAAACAAGGAAGAACAAACATTTAAGCACCTAAGGATAGTGAAATAAGCACAATTCCCTTTATGAACCCATGCCAACTTAACCTTTTTTGAGCATACTGATATAATAAATATACCACTTATATTTGTGGCATCCTTTAAAATATATATGCTGAATGTTGTTTAATTTTCTCACACTAGGCAAGAAAGATACAGTAGGGAACTAAAAAGATGTAACATATATCATAAACACCATAATCCTTTTTCTGGACTAAAATGTATCATACGATTATTTGCTGAAAATTCGCCTTTGCAGAAGGAATCCGGACACTATGACATTGTATGGGTCACACAGCTCAAACACCTTGGTAATCTGTGTTCTCCTACTGCTCTGTTGCTTGGGACCACCAAGGCACCAGCCAATAGCAGCAGAAGAGAAAAGGCTATTGACAGGTGTCAATGTAACAATGTCATTGCTGATATGTCATGACATGGCTGATATGCAGGCTGGAGAATGATGTCAGCTCCGGAGTTCTGAACGTAGCAGGTTAGGCTGCTGAACGCCATTTTCTCACCTCCTTCTCCATCTCCTGCCTGTTCCCCATCTTGCTCTATCTCCTGTTCCTCCTCCTGCTCCTCCTCTGAGCAATAAAGAAGAATAAGGAGATAATGACAGAGAATGCTCTCGCCAGTGGAAGGACAGCTTACGGACTTTTCATTTTTAAGCAAACCGGAGAGAGATTTTATATTTTCACCATCAGCAACAAAAATGGAAGAAGAACAGGAAACATGCGCTATGTTACCTTCCACCTGATCCCTGTAAGCAGAGAGGGACATAGATCAGTGACACTGCAGTGCTCAAATAGCAAAGTATAACGATTCTACTGCCTGATGCTATTATTACTCGTATTTATTTCCATTATTTATTGATGTGGTGTATTATAATATTTTTTTACTGTCCTATTTCGTCATTTTCTTGCTTTTCTTGCTTATTTTTAAAGTAGTATATGACTTTGCCCACAGGGAATAGTTTGGTATTAGTTATGTGTCACATCAGCGCCCCCGTGTGGAGCAAACGCCAAATCTCACTGCCAGCCTACTGAAGGCTCTGTTAAAATGCTTAAATGCGATCGACTGTAAACTGTTTCTGTACCGGAGTACTATTTTTTTTTTTGTCATAAATCACAGTGTTGATCATTTTAGTATTTTGCCGATTTCAGCCATTGTATTAATGTTAGCTCAATCCCGCAGGATGTCGTATATGCTTATTAGCAGTTAGCGGGGTTATTTTCTCTTAAAAAAAATCTCTTTTCCAGTGCATTTTATGGAACTTGGTGCTACCGAAGCTGGGTTTGGGAAACTTAATTATTATTAAGGAATAGGCAACGAGAGAAAAATGTGTATGCCTTTTCATCGTACAGTGCCACTACTGAATGAAGCATTACTACATAAGAACATAAGAACATATGAATGGGGGCAGCGGGTGGTTTACTCACTCGTATTCCTCTGCGTCAGACATCGCTGCTCTGTGGACAAAAGGCCATGATTAAGGCACTAAGCTGGATCTGAGAGGGACAGCAGCGACACAGCAGTGTTCCCAAAGCCCATCACGCTGACATCATGCTGGCTGCTGGCGACGGCCGGAGCAGCTGAGGATGTACAGAAGACTCACAAAGGGATATCAAGTTTCTGTCAGTTTCTACATCGGGCCCTCCAATCTTCCTTACAGGGCCACTGGAGCTGGTTTTTATTTGGTCTCCACGCCATATATATTCTAATAGAAGACAATGCATTCAGAAGTCGCATGATCAGTTAACAGCTAACGTATCTAAGGCCACTTTCTGTATAACAGGGGTTCTCAAACTTTTTGTTCAAAGTCAGAGCTCTGGAATAATTTTCAGTAACAAAAGAGCATTTCATGAACTTTAAAGAGTTGACAATAACCTTCGATATAGGGATCAATATATAACAAAATGATCGTTTCGACTCTGACATGGAGATGCGGGATTATGACGAGTTATGTGTGTGAGAAATTTGGTGATTCTGCCTTGTATTATTGTCCTTCAAACCATGTTAAGCCTTTATACGTTAACCGTTTTGAATCATATGGTGCGTTCTCTGCTGGGTCTGGACTAATTTTGAGACCCCCTGTTGTATAGTTATACAATTATTGGAAGTATTGGAAGTTTCTCTCTGACTGCTATGATTTGATACACAGAAGATGTATTTTTTTTTAGCATTTCTGTCTTGATAGCATGTTGTCTGTTTCCACATGGGGACTTGCCAACACTAAGCACCAGTTGTCTGCATTTGGTTGTAAACATGCCGCATGTGGATGGACCACGAGCCCCCACAGCATTCCAGACCCCCCTAACAGCCAGTTCCTGTCACCTTCCCCTTTTTCTCAGTAACCCCCCCTCCGTCAGCCGGGTCAGTTTATATCCTATGTCACTCCCTCAAACAATTTATAGACAACATAGCTGTCATCGCCTCTTCCCTGCTGTGCAAATCCAAAGCATCTCAGTCCATCGCTCAACATCTAATTCATCTCCTACTGTCAAGTGTCAGTGTTAACGAGTTACTCAGTACAAAATCAGTGTCCTAATGACTGAAGGGCCTTTACAGGCCCTCCGTGTGGGAGCCCATCACAGGGTTTGGTCAGGAGCTGAACACATCCCTTTATGGGCATGAGTTACGCCCCTCCACGTGGGAATCGCCGTCGGGGTATGAAGGAGCCCCCAGGAGGGGCTGAGGGATGGAGAGCTCTGCACCTCCGTCAGGTTGGTGTCAGGAAGGCAGAGGAGCAGACAGACAGGGGTGGGGGCACAGAAACAAAGAAGGGGACAGAATAGGGGGCTTATGGGCTGTATAGAGTTACCCGGGACACCTGTGGGAGCATTAGCAGCGGGATTCTGTTTAGTTAATTTTAGCCAAGGACACAGAAAGAACAGCGTCTGACTCACGGACTCCCATTAACAATGACAAAGGGCTTTATTAATAGCCCTGGAAAAGCCAGGTTCCCAGTGGAGGTCCCACTGTGCCATCGATTGCCTGTAATGATATTTCTGCGTGGGCCAATCAGGCCCCAAGCTGTATCCCTACGTCTTCCTCATCGCTTTCTTCCTCATGCATGTACTCTCCCTCATCATTTGATTCATTTCTAGATCATTCCAGCAAATGGTAACTTTGGCTTTAGTTTGTTCTGACAAATGAGGTCACAGAGCCAAAAAAGAGTGGAAAGACACCGATTGGGGGTCAGAGGGGTGGAAATGCAGGGAGACGGGGGAGAAGAAAGGACAAAGCATGCTCAAAAAGAATGTTCCAGAACTCACCTTGGCTGGAACCGGGATCTACAGCCAGAAGAGATGGGGAGGATGGCAGAGAGTGGGACGTTTGTGAGTTGGGGGGGGGGGTGGGTGCTTTATAAGCCATGTGGGGTGGGGTGGGGTGGGTGCAACTTCCAGAGATGGAGAGGTAGCGATAGGTGGATTAAGGGGGAATTTTGGGAGAAAGATGACAGACCACATTGTAATAAGAGAACAGGATTAAGAGGGAGATGCTGACGGCTCTGTTGAAATAGGAGAGGGGGGGACAGGTGAAAGGGTGTTAGCATGGGGGGGGGGGGCGCCAGAGTCATCACAATGGAGCTTGACAGCACTAAAGCAGCAGAATCCTGCTCCTTCAAAGAGGGTCTCCTTTGGTAAAGACACCGCTGTCACTCCTACGGGCCTGGTGGTTCATCCTCCAGGGGCCCCACGCCATACTGCCAGGCCCCTGGGGCTGATCCGACTAAAACACAACCCCATCAGAGCCCCAGACACCCTCTGCACAGTGAGTCCCTGGCAGGGACCCCCGTCGTGATCTGTATGTTGAGGAGGCTACAGCCTGATCCCGGGAGGTTTTGGTCTCCAGCTCCTGCACCAAATTCCCACCTTGGGACTAAATTAGTGGTGCAGATCACCCAGCACGTTCCTCAGTAATTCATACATGAAAAAAAAACAATTAGCATAATTAGCAAATAACAGCTTTATTGAGAAGGTAAAAAAGTGTCTATGTGGTTCCTGAGGGGCTCACTCTCATTTTCACGGTGAGAAGCTGAACGAGAGACAGAAAGAAGAATTTAGAAGATATTTAACCAGTTTCAAGACATATCAGAAGTATGAGTCAGCCAAGGGTTATGGTCAGCAGAATCAGGGGGGGGGGAAGGAAAAGGCACCTGTGTGTTTCTATTGAACTGGGCCAAGCTGCTATCCGGATCCACGCAGAGTGGGAAGAAGCAGTCCAGGTGGTACAGGGATGGCCGGGCAGTCAGCAGCAGCCTGTCTTCCCCCAGATCCAGGACCAGCGACCGAGAAGATACCTGTAAAGTGGGGCCTTAAGTGTCCCAGAGGCACAGCTGTGTTGCACACCTGGTTCTGGAGGCCCAGAGCAGACTGGATGCAGAGGATAAGAGCTCAGCTAGAGGGGAGTTCTGTGCACACTCTCTTCATGACCAGGTGTGGATATACCCCATAAACAGCAGCAATAAGGCATCTCACCACTCCTGGTAACTGGATTTCTGCTGTTAGGTACTCTGGGTCTCCACAAGAGGGCTCCACCACAAGACAGAACTGTGGCCTGGAATGGGGGGTGAGACAGGGAGAGAGAGAGCGAGAGATAGAGATGACACATAACTGTGTCTTTATTATTATTTCTTTCTACATGTAGACAAAATAACTGGGTGGGGCCACATTACTCGGGCTGACGGGGGGCAGGGGGTGGGTGGGTATGAGCACAGTTAGAGGGTCAGGGCATATAAGGAGCAGTTCTCACTGTTTGGCAGCAGGTGGCGACGTGTTCTGGTCTCTGTGGGAAAGAAAATGTAAGAAGATGCGATTTGTTTCCATCCTGTGGTAAGAACTCCAGTTTCAATCATTAGATCTGAGGGTCACATCATTTGTGTGGAAATACTTAAAACTGTCAGTTATATTTGTACCCAGGAACAAAAACAAAGACCCAAGAAGTTCCCGTTTAGTGCCCTGTCTCCGGACCGGGCCTTACACTGCACTCATTTCCTCGATCACCGGCTTGCTCTTGGTCCGGATGTTCTGACTGTTCATCGAACCCAGGAACTTGCGGTTCTTCAGAACTTTCCACTCTGTGGGAAAGGAGGAGGCAGATGAAGCTACATCATGGAGCATAAATGCAGAAGGAAAACGCTGATCTTCAGCACAGAGGGAGGATGGAACGGACCTCGACTGAGCTCCACACCATACTTGTTCTCCAGACCGTCTAGAGACACCGTAACAACAAACTGCAAGAAGAGCTGGTCTTTCTAGAAAAAGCAGAAACTATTGGCCTTTCTGTAGATTGATGCTTTTAAAAAGGAACTTAAAACATTCTAAAAACTGAAAACTTTGTACACATGCAATAACACACACCTGGCATTTCTTGAAGAATTCATTGTTGATCACAACATCATAAGCTGTACAGCCTTGGGAATCTGCAATGATATATATATATATATTTTTATTTTTTTTTCCCCACTGGTATTGCAGCACTGGTACTGTGCTCCTGAAGGGTATATATTGGTAAACTGGGACAGTTTTTCAAAATTTACTCAGACTTTAAAAATATCCTAATCATAAACATTAAAATATACGTTTTATTGAAAGATCAAGAACTGAACTTAAAGGAGCCCTATTATTTTTTTCTAATTTTACATTTTCTTTAGTGTGTCAGATAGCTTTTAGTGCATTTAAGTGGTCTGCAAAGTCTTAAGGCCCAAAGTACACGTCAAAGGGAGTAACTCTCACCACAGAAACCACTTTAATCTGCCTGAAATGCCTTCTTGAAATTCCAGTCCTTACTTCTGTGACATGGTGAGGTCTCTTCGTAATACAATGCTCATTGGGCACTTACCTACATGCAGACTGCAAGACAGGAGCGGAATGTGTAGGGCAAGCTGACCAATCAGAGCACCCTAGACTCATTGGGGGTGGAGCTTAGGGCTCTAACAGCATTTCAGGCAGTTATAGAGTAAATAGGGAAATACAGGATGAGAAAAATAATGTGTTTCTGGAACACTAAAACATGTCAATGTATTTTAGTAGACTCCAAAAGTTATGAACAGTGAAAATGAGCATAATAGGGCCCCATTAATTTAATAGACCGCAAAGGCATAAAGATATAAAGTCAAACATATAAGTGTCATTTTAGCATGCTGTCCCCTCCATGTCACTCCAAGATGACCTCCTGCACCCATCACCTCCTATTCAGAATCTCTGCAATACCACTCACTGCTGTCCAGTTCAGCATGGGGCTCGCCAAGGCTCATGGGAACTTTGTACCCCGTAGGGTCGTCTGACTGCAGAAGTTCCAGCAGCTGCTCCCTGGAGAGGTGGGGGGGTGGAGGGATCGAGGGAGACTGACAGATATTCACAAAGACTTTGCCGTTGTCAGGGAGAGAAAGTGTCTTCACACACAGTCCTGTAAGAGAGGGAGCAAGATGAAGCATCGACTATGTGGCCACACCTGGACCTGTCACTAAGCCTGTAGTGAACTGAATAAACATGCTGTCCTATCACCAGGCATGAAGACATCTTCCACCTGAGGGACCTACCAGGCTGTGGCTGAATGACTCGGGAGTCGGGATTCTGGGTTTCTATCCCTCCCATGGTCTGAGAGAGAGATCAGAGAAACGTCCTTCAGAAGCCAGGAAAGGCTACATTGTGTCAATCTTCAGATTTTACTAAGCTTCTCAGAACACACAGCCATAACAGAACACAAACAGGATTAATAAGGATGTGAGCATCAGGTCACATGGAATCCACCCAATAGCTGCCCATCCAAACAGGAGCACTGATCCAGCTGTACGCATGCTGTTTGTTCCTTTGCCAGTGATAACTTCAGTGACACGGAGTATCCCAGGGAAACGCCGTAGAGGACCGACTATTAGTTAAGTTCTCCCCAAGCGAGCTCGATGAGCCGAATGGCCTCCTCTCGTTTGTATAGTTCTTATGATCGTATGACTAGCGGAGCGGACACGGGGGCCGAGATGAACAGACCTGAACGAGAAGCTGGTGATAGAGCTGCTCCTGCCTCTGCCGCTCCGCCTCGGACGTCAGGAGGGACGAGTCTGTCTCCATACCTAAAGAAACTGAAAGATATAGCAGGAGACAGCAGCGAGAGCTCAGAACCCAGGACAGAGCAGCTTCGGTCCCGACACAAAAAAAAGCTCGTTTCATTTAGCCAGGAGTAGTCAGCATCCCCATGCACGGCTATGGAGTCCACATACGAGCGGCACGGTTGACGGGGGGGTCGCTGAATTGCGGGGCTTTAGGGCTGTTACTACAGAGCACTGAGGAGTATCGAATTGTTGTATGTATGCTGCTAAGGCAACCGGAGTCAATCATGTCTTTCTACAGAATAACGGATACTATACCTGCTGCAACTTTTACCTTACAGTGTGAACAAGAGGGTGCCCTAAAATGACTTCTTATTACGTGATGCACCGACTACAACTCAGTTACTCACTCGAGAGGACTGTCACACACCGCGAACCTCTCAGATAAGACGTATGGTGCGGCCTGATGACGTTCAGCTGCGGGCGCGTTGTTTATGACGTTACGTGCAGGCCGCCCTCTGCCGGAAGTGATGCCAAGAAGATTCCCATTAGCGTCTACTCAATAGGAAGGCCGACACTGAGAGGGGGGATTGGAGAGAAACTCCCCGTTCACAGAGAAAGAGCAGCTTCAAAGTGGCCGGTATGTGGGGAAAGGAGATGGAGCAGTAAGTTGGGCTGCGTGTCGTGAGCAGGATGTGGTGTCTCGCGGGGCTGACGGTGTCCGCGCGCTGATGCGTGTTTCCCCACCGCGATCTCCCTGCGTTTAAAGGTAATCCCCTCATTATGTCACTGAGTTTGCCTTCACATCTTTCACAGACTTTCCCTTTTCAGTTTGCGTGCACCGTCAGTGTTTCTTGGTTTTTATTTATCCTATATGCATCATTTTCTGCTTTATATTTTCTAACTTGGCACTAACGAAACTATAACTCGTCTCCGCACGCAGTAACTTCTGCAGTTTTCTTTACTAGTAAGCAAGCTGGTTTTCCTGATCATTAACCCCCCCCCCCCCCAGGAATTTGCAGTTATTTCATTTTAACCACCCCCTACTCGCAGCTTTCGCATGATAGTTATGAATGACAGACCGGTAAATGACAGCAGGACATGCTGAAGCCCCGACAGCGAAAGGGGAGAGCCGCATCTCCAGACGGGGAAGCCGTGTTCAAACAGGCAGCACTCCAAAAAGGAGAAGAGCCTCATAGCCACAAGCACCATCAGAGCCAGAAGCATTGCTAGGTCGCCCAGTCCTAAAAGTAACCATCAGTTGGGTGACCACAGAAGAACCTCGGGACAATAAAGTATGGGGGAGGGAGGGGTCTGTATATATTGTTTGTTCCTGACATTACATAAAAACAATTCCACTTTTATTTTGTATGTCAGGTTTGTTACTTTATGGTCTTAACGTTTCATACATGAAGATTATAATATGAATGGAAAGAGGTTTTGCGCTAGTGAGATGCTGATGACTTTTCTCCTCTGTGCCGTTTTCCCTATGCCTCCTGCACTCTATGCCTGCAGTGTTCCTTGCTGAGACGCTGCTTTCTCCTGCCTACACATAAACGGCAGGTTGTGTTACAGGCCGCCATGCGCATTCCTGAGGGGAGGCGGTGCCCAGCCGCAGGCATCTCTCTGTAAATATGCCTGTAACGCAGGCTGGGTGTGTCTGCTGGCTGACAGGGTGTGGCGTGTGCTGCCTACTGAGGGTACCTGTGCCCCCGCACCACCCGTAGCTTTGTGCGACTTCCTGCACGCACATCCGGCTGCTCACAGCACGTGCAGTGCGTCACGTGGGGGTCCAGCTTGCACTGGTGCTGAGCTGCTTCCTCCAGTCCACACTCTCCCACATTTTAATAGCCACCACAGTGGAGTAAATGGATAAAATGCTCAGGTATAAAAGATAGCTTCATTAATGGTTGACCATTCTAAAGCATGACTAACAGGCAGGACCTCAATTGGTCTCTTGCTCTGTCCTGGAAGCTCAGGATGGTGGCGATTGTGTTTCTGGGCCGCTAACACTAATATCTGTCACCCATCGCTGTCCCCTTGGTCCTCTTTGGCAGCTCGTCATGGCACGCTAAGCGAGGAGGATCGCCCCGCTTGCAGCTGGGGCACACTCAGCCGGCTCTGAGGGACAGAGCCAGGACCTGGGCCAAGATGGGCCAGTGTGTCACAAAATGCAAAAACCCATCGTCCTCTCTGGGCAGCAGGAATGCAGACAAGGAGTCAGGGAGCAAATCTCACTGCAAGAAAAGCACAGCCGCAGTGACTGAGGCAGGGGGGTCCAAGGAGGAGCCAGGGTCTGCGCATGCGAAAGACCCTCTTGCCAATGGCACTGGGAAGGCAGAGGTGTGGGCGGAGCCGGGTGGGGCCCGGGTGGCCCTGGGGGCGGAGCAAGGTGCGGAGGCCGGGCTGACTTTGCGGCGCATAGAAGAGTTTTTCGAGCGCTACAGAGACGAGCAGGACGACGCCATCTTGGAGGAGGGCATGGAGCAGCTGTGCAACGACCTGCAGCTCGACCCAGCTGAGTTTCGCGTGCTGTTGCTCGCCTGGAAATTCAAGGCCGCCACCATGTGCAGGTTCACCAGGTGAGAGATGGGGGGTACTCTGCCCGGCTATCCCTGACCAGCATTCTCTGGGAAAGACCAACCTATCCTGTATGTCCCGAGATGAACATATGATTCACTGCATCGTCTCGCAGCTCTCTCCCGGTCTGATTTCTTTGTGTCCTGCAGGAAGGAGTTTGTGGATGGCTGCCGGGCACTGGGTGCAGATAGCCTAGAGGGCATCATGTCGCGGCTGCCGGAGCTGCAGGAGGAGGTGAGAGCCGAGGAGAACTTCAAGGACCTGTACCGCTTCACCTTCCAGTTCGGCCTGGACGCGGAGCAGGGCCAGCGCTCGCTACAACGCGACATGGCCGTGGCGCTCTGGAGGCTGGTCTTCACGCAGGACGTGCCTGCGCTGCTGCCCTGCTGGCTGCACTTCCTGACGGAGAACCCGGCTGGCATCAGGGGCGTGTCCCGCGACACCTGGAACATGTTCCTCAACTTTACGCAGGCTGTCGGCCCCGATCTGTCCAACTACAGCGAGGACGAGGCCTGGCCTAGCCTCTTCGACACCTTTGTGGAGTGGGAAGCGGAGAGGCGCAGTCGAGCGCAGCAGCACGGGGACGCTGCTGCGGAGATTCCCTGACGGCGCTCCGTGTTGCTACGGCTGCCGGCATCCGTCTCTGTAAACGCTGGGCAGGGCTGTGTGGATGTGATGCAGGGGCACCTTGTCTGCCTTGCATTTTATACAAGGGCTCCGACAATGTTTTTAGGCACTTTTTATTTATTCTTGAAGTTTTATATAAAAAAAAATTTTGTTAATGGATGTGTAATGGGTGTCCGTTTTTAAAATGCTGTCTGAGGCAGGGTCACGCTGCTCAGTGCCTGATCCACTCGTTTCAGGGTTAGTCGCCCCAGCTCGCCTCTTCCTCAGGAAACGCAGTGGAACGTTATATCTAAGCAGTGTTCCGTGTTTTTCGGTTAAAAAATAATTTACAATGACCCATAAAAGGCTATTTGAAATGCGAAAGCCGAGTGATTAATTTTCCACTGTGGCCCTGTTGGATTAAGAGCATGTGATAAATGCAGGACAGGAAGTGATGAAGGGTGGCGACGGGACGCCGAGGGCCGCCTGCCAGCGAGCAGGTGACGCTCTCCTTTGGGGACAGAATGCTACTGCGGTTTCTCCATGCCAGCTGAACTACTTGAGTCTTCAGCTTGCTGCCCCAGAGGAGGGAGCCAGTCACACGGTAATAGCACATTTGCAGGGACCATCAGCACTTTGCAGTCAGCCCAGCTAAAAAAAAAAAAAGCATTTGGCCTCAGCTCACTCCTGCAGGGACGGGGGTCAGCCTGCCTCCTCCTGTGGAGTTTGCATATTCTCATCTCTCTGGTTCCTTCTCGCAGCCCAGAGCCACACATTCATTAATGTGTGACTGTTTACTTGATTGAGACACAGTGCAGCTGCTCTGTTCCTTATAACATACATATTCCGTAGCCCGGGTCCGTCACGCAGCAGAGATCTTCACATCAACACAGGGAGCAGGAAGGCGCTGCCTTTTTTTTTTTGCTATCCACCAGCAGCATGGACATACTAACATGCAGCAGACCTGTCAGTCTTCCTCCTTTCCCTGCCTTAATCACAGTGAAGCTCAGTAGCACAAATTCCTGATCTCAACCTACAGCATTAACGTGTTTATTTTATGTACAGTGACAGTTACAGGCAAATAGCAGATCAGTACCACAAAGTGAAAGTGGCCCAGGGAGTGCCCAATCAGCCAGCTACAGGTGACCCTGAACATGCTGCTGTTCCCTTGCAGTGACATCAGCACCCCCTGCACTGCACACTACAGCATAACTGTCACGAATGCCAGCAATATTATAGTGATGGCCAAATGAAGTTTCACTGCATGTTCAGCTCAAAAATCATGCCCTAAAGCAAACCAAACGCAGCATGTAGTGGGTTAAAAAATTACATCAAATGGTTCAGGAAGTTTCATTTGGCAATCACTAGTTATAGCCCAGCTTTGCTGGGGTTCACAATCCAATTCCAGCAAAGGAGACACATTCATTTAATCTAACTCCAACTATAAATACAAAACAAAGTGTCTGTAGTGTCTGTTTACATAGCCTTTTTTCCAGCATAAGATTTTTAGGCACAGCGGGGTCTTACACCTGATTGATATGGAACTAAGGGCACCTGTGTGCATAAGTCAGATCCTCGACATGTTGACCCTGTCCTGCAGGGGGCAGTGTGATACAGAATCAGAAAGTAGCACAACTGCCGATACTGAAAGCAAGCAGGTCACACACTGCTAAAGCCCTCACACACCTAATAAAGTCCACATTCACCTGATAAAGGCCTCACGTGCCTGATAAAGACCACACACCTCACTCAACAGGACAGACTGGCGCACGAACTGCGTGGTGAGTGGTGACACTATTATGGGGGACAAATGGACAAGGCAGGGGGCATATCTGTAGAACTTGTTCCATTGGTTGAGGCCAATCATCCAGGAACACATTGTGTCTGAAGAGGGAGGTGGGGGGGGAGGTGCTGGTCGAGACCTCCTCATGCTTCCTGGTGGAAACGCAGCCTTTCGAAAGCATACTTGACATCCTCGTCTTGGTGCTCCCCATGGTCCCCCAGCCAGCAGACATGGCTCCTGGAAGCGTCGTCCTTCAGCTTCCGCTTGCTGAGCGTCACGGACGGCCCTGCACCTGCTGGGGCCGCCAGCGTGATGAAGCAGGCATGCCGGCTCCTCTCCAGCAGTGTCGCTGCAGCAGCATGGACAGATGCAGGTCATGGGGCTGTGCCTCCCATACAGCCCCACACACTCACCCTCCCCCCACACATCCCCCAACTCTTACCCCTGAGGGTGACAGTATGCCCGCCCCCTCCCCACGTGCTGCTCTCCAGGACGGCATCAGGATGCTGGGGGTGCAGCATGTAGGTGAAGGTGTCCTCACTGCTAGGCCTCTGTAACACAGCGCTGCAGGTCACGTGACCTCCTGACACACTCGGTCCAGGCCAGTGGGCGCGGCTGGCCGTACTCACCATGGCATCGGGAGGGGCCACCATCTGTCCCCAGAAGACGAACACAGAGATTGTGTGGATGCTCCGGAAGCTGACAGGCTGGGGTGTGTTGGGCCGTGCCAGCAAGATGAGCTGCCATTGGACGAGCCCGGACCTGCCGTTCAATATCGCCACCTAGCAGAGACCAGAGGAACGGTGCTGAGTACCGTGCTGAGGTCCCAGACTACGCACACGTCAAGGGTGGACTGAGCCTCCAGCACCATACTGACCCGTTTGGTACCATTCCCAGAGTCCTCCTCCAGCACCACGTCAGTGATGTCATCTTTGTCATAGTACCCCGTGCTGGGCTGACTGTTGGGGGGACAAACAGGGTCACCTGGTGCCCGTAAGCATGTGTGTGACAGTGTGGCCGCTAGGGCGGGCATGTGTGTGACAGTGTGGCCGCTAGGGCGGGCATGTGTGTGACAGTGTGGCCGCTAGGGCGGGCATGTGTGCAGGCACCTCAGAACGCCGCTGACGTTGGTCGTCCACAGTGACTGAAGACTGTCCCCATCTACGAGCTCCACGGCACCCCCTGTCACCAGCAGGAGGCTATGGCCACCTCTCTTTTTCGGCACCTGAACCAGCCAGTGGATGACGGCCGACCTGAAGACAACAGAGGTGACACAGAACCCAAAAAAAACAGCTCTGATCACGTCCTCCTGGGCGCAGCAGGAAGCCCGTCTCACCTCAGCGGCTGCTCAGAGGTACCCTCTGCTGCCGCCTCCCACGCGGGCTCCCTCCTCAGGGTCTTCTCACTGCCTGGCTGCACCTCAGCGGCGATGCGCCAAAGCGCTCGGACGTGGAGCCCCAAGGCTGCAGGAGAGACCAGCGGTCAGCATGCGATCAGCATGCGATCAGCATGCGATGGGCACGCGCAGCTTCACCGCAGTGCACGGCTGAGTCCCGCAAGCAGCAGTGCCGCCTCACCCGTCCGAAAGAGCACGTAGTGTGAGCCTGAGCCAGTGCTGTGAAGCAGATGCTTGGTGGTCTCCATCGGAATCAGGACCAGCTCGGGTCCAATCCGAGTGCCTGCTCTGCCAGATAAAACTGCCAGCTTTGTCTGTGAGGGAGATGACAGACGGTGAATCATGTGGAGGGTGTATCCTTCGAAGCAACAAAATGACTCAATATCAAACAGAACCGTAAGTGCCAGTCAGGATGGCACATGTGCCGGTACCTCCACAGGGCCCGGGCCAATCAGAACCAGATCCTCCACTTTGTCTCCATCCAGATCTGGGCTTGTCATGACAGGTAGCTGGCTGTTAAAGTTGGGCGGGTGCGGTCGCTGCCACAGGAAATCACCTCAATGAGAGGACAAAATGTGCCATTAGTTGATGAGCTGAGCTCTCTGCAAAAGGCATAACTGCACAGACACCATGCCGGCACTGCACTGCACTCAGCCCCTTTTACAGTGACTATTTTAGTCAGGCTTAAGGACGGCAGCCAAGTCACTGGTCAGGGGCCTTCAAACATCCTCCTTGTCATGGTGATGACCACCTTCCTTTTACCTGTGTTTTTGTTGACAGCAGTCAGGAGGTGGGCGTGTGCCACCAGGCAACCCGAATCAGTGCCCCCCAGGCCCTGCAGTCCACACTGTGCCCAGTGGAATGGAGGGGCTAGGGGCCGTTCCCACAGCGTGTGCCCGTTGGTACCTGCCACGGCCACCATGAACACACAGGGTATACCTGCAAAAGAGGCAGCATCAGCACCTGCCAAGCCCCATGGCATCAGCCTCACTGTATCAGGTCCATAGCTGCAGCCCAGCTCCTTACTTTCAATAGTACAGGATGTGTTCATGGTGCCTACGTTGGCCTCGAGGACAAAAAGCACATCGAGCACCTTGTCTCTGTTCACATCTTCAACAGCCAGGAAATCATAAGTGGCTAAGAGAGAAAGAAGAAAGTTTTAAGACAGACAGAGAGACAGACAGACAGACGGGATGCAGAGACACACACCTGACTCAAGGTACGTGTGGTTCCAGGTACGCAAGTAGACTGGCCTCACAGGGCAGGGGATGATAAAGGAAAAGGCAAACACCACCGTGAGGCAGAGGAAGAGCGAGATGAAGAAGACTGCCGTACGGCAGCGGGACAGGCGAGCAAGCCTCCGTGCCTTGGTGCCTGAGGCCTGGCTCTTCCCACGGGGGGCCTTGGCAACCCTCTCCTTCAGGGGCTGGGCTTCCACACGGCCATCCACCAGGTCTGACATCTCAAAGCCTCCCTGCAGGTGCTGCATGGAGAAACATGCAGGACAGAGCCTTACTTTTCTGATTTCAGATCAGATCAAACATGTGCACATGTTCCTCAGTCATGACAGCCCAGTGCTCTCAGCTCTTCTCCAAGTTTCAACCTGTTTACACCAGTAGCTGGCTGCTCACACATCATAACCTGTTTTTCTTATAGTCAGAGCCCAACTGGCAAGTCGCTACACCAACAGTTGCCTCAGGGAAGCTATACATATCTAGAACCATCCATGTGCCCAGTCATTTTCAGTCAGGTGCAGATGAAACCCAAAACAGAGTCATTAAAGCCATTAAGATACCCTCTGCATGTCTGCACTGGCAGGAAGGAACGTGGATCTAACCCCTGAAGACTGACACAAGGAGAACAGCAGCAGCAGGATGTGTTTATTTGATTCACGGCTACTGCAGTGTTCAAAAGTGGATAAAGCACGATATTGCCAATATTTGTCAAACTTTTAAACACATTATTTGCACTAAACAGTTAAGAATAGGAGTGGCCATTATTATTTAAATGTTGCACTTACAGGTTTGAAAGTAACAAAAACCATACCATAAAACTTAAGTTAGTTAATTGATTAGGCGTTTAATTAAATATTTATAAACGCCGTATATCGATCCTTCAGTAGTTAGTATAGTTACTTCGTTAAACGGGTGTCCACGCTGCCGTCCACCAGTGGCCACCATGGCAGACTCTGACGGACATTTTGATCAAAACGCAGTTTTTACCACGGACGGTTCATTTAAAAACGTAGTCTACATATTTTCTTTACTCTCATAAAAACATTTTCTCACTGATACACAAGAATCTTTCCACGGATACGTTTACGATCTCTGATAGTAACATTTCCTTAAACGGTTGTTTATACTGTATAGTAACACGTTAGTAATTAAGTTAAACAGCTGCATACCCTGTATAGTTACACTTCAGAAGTTGGTCGTTTAGTTAAACGATTATACACCTTCTATAACGACACTTCATAAGTTAGTCGTTTAGCTAAATGGCTGCATACCCTGTATACTAAACCCTTCGGTAGTTAATTGACTAGATAAGCCATATAATTATATCATATGGATCGTACAATACACTTTTAAAGGGCGGACTGTCGGATCGAGAAGCTCGCAACACAAAAGCAACCATTTTAACAGAGTTCAGTCCCAGTTTCACGGAGTAAATAAATTCATACACACTGGAATTAAAGGCAGGCTACAGACGACCCAAACACCGGCTCTCTCGCTGTCCCTCTGCTGAGACCTGTGGCACTGGCTGCCGTGCGCGCGACCATACGGGTCTTGGTTCGGTGTGCGCGCCTCCATTCGATGCTTGGCCTTCTGGGTTATGTAGTTCATTTGGGGCGAAGTGACTTTGGGCGACTCGGGGAAGGGTTGGTGTATACCGCTGACAGCATGCTCAGTGAGTTAAAACATTAGGCATATACGCACACTGTTTTGGTTGTATTCCTTTTGTTTTAGACGAAATATGTAAAAAGATTATTTAACGTGAGTGAGAGTCAACATGTTTAGGTTTATCATAGACAAGTAATAAATCCTACAGTCGTCACATCTCTCTTGCTAGATAGTAAACTGACTGTTGCTGCACCAGAGCCATTTAAAACTATATTTACATTGGAGAAGTGCAGTGTCTATCTTGTAAAAGTGACCCCGCTTTATACTCTGAAGTTGCCTTCTTGTCTTTTTGTGCCTGTAATGATTATAAACAGAAAAGTGCCTGGAGTCTCTAAAGCAGCGTCAGTGCTCTGATAAAGCAAAAGCATCCCCACACCATCACAATACCTCCACTGTGTTTGACTGGAAATCTGTGTCAGCTTTTCACCAGATGTAGCAGGACCTATGTCTTCCAAAGTTTCAATTTTGACTCATTAGACCATCCCCCAAAAACCATTGGGGGTAGTCAAGGTGTTTCTTGGAAAACGTTAGACGAGCCTTCACGTTCCTTTTGTTTAGCAATGGACACCATTTTTACCGTCTTTCTAATCATGGAATTATGGACGCAGACATTAATTGATGTGAGAGAAGCCTGCAGTTCCTTAGATATTTGTCTGGGGTCTGCTCTGGCTTCCCTAATGTGTCTTTCTAAGTGCTCTTGCAGTAATTGTGCTAGGCTGGCCAGTCCTGAGTAGATTTGCCTCTGTTCCAAGTTTTTTTTTTCCATTTGGAGATGATGACTCTCACAGTGCTTCGCTGAAGTCCAAGTAGAGATGATCTTTTCATCAAAGCGTGTCGGGTACTGGGAAAAAAACTCACACTGGTCCATTCGGACTGGTGTGGTGCTGAGGTATCACCCACTGCACAACTACACTCAGGTTCTCATCCCTGAAGTAGTTTGTCATGTGGAGCGTGTGGCAACACACTGTAATCAGTGTGTGCTCCTTACCTCTAAGGTGGAAGTAAAAGCTGCATATTCACCTCTGCTCTCTCTTGGCATCATGTATAGAAATGAAGAACAACCCATATTCAGCTTTGGGAGGGAAACTAAGCAGGTTTATTACAAAGTAAAGAACAAAGCAATATAAATGAAAGGGACTGTGGGTGGAGTCACAGAGTGATGTAGAACACAGATCACCAGAGGGACTCGTGAGCAAATTAACAATGACTGAACTAAGGACCATCACACAGGTGGGTAATGATATATGATAATGATGAGGAACAGGTGTGACCAAGTAGGAGACAAAGGGAAGCAAACAGGATGGCCAGCAGAGACCCCTGCTGGCCAAACAGGAACATGACAAGGACAGGTCATGACAGTGACATTGTCTATCTTTTTGTGTGTGTTGGTGAATTCTTGCTTTAGAATGAGAAGTGTCTATTATAGAACCATGACACACACATTCCTTACTGGTAGACAGTAGCTCAACTTATGCTCTTGCGTTTAGAGATATGTCACCAGTGGTGGGAATTTAAGGTCCAGAAATACAAATCTAAACCAAGATTATGTTTCTACCAACCAGCTGAGTACTCTGTGACTATGACTCTTTATGCTCAGCTAGTTGGTGGAAACAAAATCTTTGGTCTGGATTTGTTGGATTGCTTGGACCTGAAATACCAAACACTGGATGTCACCATAGTCAATTAATATAACGCTGGCTTTAAAGGGAGACGGGATCAGTAACCATCTTCCTAAAAACACCTCTGCATCAGCAATTAGGAGACTTAAGATCCAGTCTAATAATTAAACAGTCATTCTATCAGTAGTATGTAGCGTCTAATCATCAAAACAGAGACAACATACCATTCTGTCCAATAAAATTTAAATATTCATTCAGAAGATAAGCATGCAATCAGAACATAATGAAATACTTGAAATTTAATTAATTTATATTACTTGAAAAATATCACGTCAGATTTAATCCAGGTACTAAATAATTACTACTCAGGTGAGTATAACTTGAATGATTAGTGTATGTGTTGATACTGAAGCCAATAATCATTATGCAATTTGCTGTAGCAGTTAGAATGTTAGTATTTGTATATTAGTCTTCATGTGTTAGTCTTCATGCATCAATGTTTGTGTTTGTTAATGCTGGAATCAGAATGCCACAGGGGCTGAATCTCAGTATATTTTTCTGTTATCAGGGTGCCAGTGTCCTTTTCTGTGTTATCAGTGTGTCAATGTCCTCTTCTGCCTGCCAGAGTGTCTGTGTCATTCACTGATGGCCGATGTGTCAGTGCTCTTTTTCTGCCTGCCAGTGTGTCAGTGTTCTTTTCTGCCTGTCAGTGTGTCCATGTTCTTATCTGCCTGCCAGTGCGTCAGTGTCCTTTTCTGATGGCCGATGTGTCAGTGCTCTTTTTCTGCCTCCCAGTATGTCAGTGTCTTTTTCTGATGGCTAGCGTGTCAATTTCCTGTTCTGCCTACCAGTGTGTCAGTGTCCTTTTCTGATGGCTAGCGTGTCAGTTTCCTGTTCTCCCGGCCAGTATGCCAGTGTCTTTTTCTGTCGGCCAGTATGTCAGTGTCCCTTTCTGATGGCCATTGTGTCAGTGTCATTTTCTGTCAGCCAGTATATCAATGTCATTTTCTGACGGCCAGCATGGCAGTGGCATATTCTGCCTGTCAGTGTCTTGGCATTCCAGTGTGCAGCATCAGAAGGTCTCTGCTGTTATCTCTTTCACTTTCTGCTTCTCCTTCATTTCCTCCAGCCCTGGGGCCTGCCGTGTGTCCTGACCAGGGATGAAAGAGAGAAGCTAACACTCCCAGCATGAACCACAGCAGTCCAGATCATGTCTTTTACTGGCTTGCAGATACCTCCAGCAGAGCCCTTTTCCCCGTTACCTGAGTGTTGGGGGTGGCCAGTGCTTGAAGGGTCCGCCTTCTGGCCAGCTTCTCCAGGAGCTCAGCATTCATTACCAACACTGAGGTAGGACACAGGGATAGTATTCATCTGAGGGTCCTCCATACAGCTATCTCCTTAATCTTTTCCTCTCCTCCATCATTTTTCACACAGCCAATCACGCTTGCTCATTTTCTTTGTCCCTCCCATTTCCACCAATCCCCCGTGACTCCCTCTCTCTCAGTGTCCCTTGCCCTCATGCTGGTACCTTTGTCAGTCTCTAAAGGTTGGCTGTAGGGGCCGGGGGAGCGGGGCTGCACATCGGGTGATTCAGAGTGGCTGCTGGGGATGTAGGAGAGGCGCCTGTTCGATGCCTGGGAATGAGGAGCATTCTGTTGAAGACATTATTATGTCTTTTTGTCTATTATTATGTTGAAGACAATTCATTAATGCATTGATTCATTTCGGTGTCTGTTAGTGAGAGCGCCCTCTTCCTTTGAGGTATTATACAGCGTATATGGGTGTTAGTGGTACCTTGGACTTCGGGCTGACCGCAGGCTCCTCCTTGTGCGTGTCCTCCAAAGCCGAGGCAGGCTCCAGGATGTTAAAGGGAACGAAGCCGATCTGACCATAGCCATTACGGCATTTCCACCAGCGCTTTGATGACTCAATTACCTTTGACATTACAGGAAGATGAAAAGAATTGCGGTTTAAATACTGTTTGCACAAATCCATCTCTGTTTTATGTGCACAACGCTAATAACCCAGAGAGCAGCCAGTACCAGTGTAGCACAGCACCAGTAACTCAGAGAGCATCCAGTTACAATTTAGTTCAGTGCTAATCACCCACAGACCGGCCATTACCATCGTAGCACTGTGACAATAATCTGAATCAGAATAAAAAAATAATAATCCAGACAAATAGCAGTACCAGTGTAGCACAGCACTAATAATCCAGAGAGCATCCAGTACCAGTGTAGCACAGCATTAATAACCCAGAGAGCATCCAGTACCAGTGTAGCACAGCATTAATAACCCAGAGAGCATCCAGTAACAGTGTAGCACAGCATTAATAATCCAGAGAGCATCCAGTACCAGTGTAGCACAGTGCTAACAACCCAGATATAGTGATGAGTTGTACCTCCAGTTTCTCTCCATGTAATACAGACAGCTCATTGCTGTTCCGAGCCACAAAGTCATAGCTGCAAATATACGTCTCTCCTTCTGGGATGGGGGTTTCACTGAAAAAGAAGAGGAACATCAGGGACAATTTCAGTCCCCAAATTTGAGGATATTTCACATATAACATCCTGACCTGCTATTCCTCTTAATATTCATTAGGTGGCACTGTTACACTACTGTTGTGCAGCCCAAATCAACACATTTATTTTGTACCATGACAATTATCACATTTGAGTAATTTCAAAATATACACAATATGCCAATAGAAGAAAAGGTGCAGCTGAATGTACTCACGTGTCTCTGTTGACTTTGCCTGGGGAGGGGGGCAGCCCCATGAGCACACTGGAGGAATGCTGTGAGATACAGGACAGGGGCAGGACAGGGGCAGCGGGGGAGAGGGGCAGCGGGGGAGAGGGGCAGCGGGGGAGAGGGGCATTGTAACACCCTCACTTTACTGAAACATGACTTTATCTCCCCACTTTTTTTTCTTCTTTTTCGTTATTTCGGTTTTTATTAAAGTGATGTAACAAAATAGGTACATGATTGCATTTATACATAAACATTATTCAGACTGGCATTACAAAAAGTGCATTAATAATAATAATAATAATAATAATAATGATAATAATATACAAATTTCCCAAAGGACCAACTTACACACAACTTTTATCCATTCAAAAACTTATGAATATATATATTTTATTAGGTTTCATATGACGCTGAAAATGTTCCCAAATTCCCACAGATGTCCCTCTTCTTCCGTCAGATCTAGCTAACATATTTTCATGTCATCTGGATCATCTATTCTTTGATGTCAGGGAGCTTGCTACTTTTACAATTATGCAGTATCATTCTGGCAGGCAGAACGAAACCAACCTTAAGTACTTAACCTTATTATTTGTGACATACGGAATAGCTGCTCTGTCTCTTAGGAGACACGTTATTGGCTGTACAGGAAATGTTGAACCCATCCAGTTTCCTAGGAATTCTAAATTTTATTCTGAAATGGATAAACCAAAGGGCATTCCCAAATACAATGCAAGAATGTTCCAGTTGAATTTTGGCATTTCCAACAAATTTCACTATTTATTAATCAATTAAAGACCTGGATGGAGCCTACTAGTGTATATGTATTAATTTGTATTGAATAATTATCCCCTAACTTCCCTGACATTTTTCCCTGCATCAGACAAAATTTTCATCCAACATTCCTCATCAATATGACATTCATGTTCTCGTTCCCAAATCATTTTACGATTTTGACAGGAGTCGCTAAATAACTTATTAAAGATTCCGTAGAAAACTGATACCCTGTGACATCAGGCGGACAGTTTAAAATAATGAAGTAAGTAGTTATCACTATTTTCTGAGAATCTGTTAATTTCTTATCTGTAAATATTTTCAAAAACTTCCTTTCTCATCCAAAGCAAATTTTCTTAATGCATCAGTAAATGAAATACACCTCATCCTCATACAAATCTTCTTCTGTTGGAATAATACTTAATAATAGTACATACTGATGAATTTAATATCTTATAATGTAACACCACATTGTGTAATTTACATACTATTGATGTGAAGGAAATGTAGAAATGCAGGAAGTTAATTATAATTTGGTAATTTTTTCAAGAGGTAATTACTCACCTCCCTCTCCTAGACCCCACCCACTTATAAAAATGGCAGTTTGCTCCTGTTTATCATCACAATCATCAACACTGCTGCCTCAGCTATATATAGGAATCCTCATAGCAAAGCTGGTCTTACTTTGATCCTGTCCTTCAGATTCTCTTGTTTGTGTTGCAGTTCAATTGGGTCATCCCAAGGTTGTCCTTCCGGGTCAAAGGGCTCAGGGGTCCATCCATCCAGGAAGAGCGGGGTATAGGAGGAGACGGCCTCACCAAGCTGCGACCTGGCAGAAAAATGCTGCTGTATGAGTCAGTCACTCGCACAGCCTACTCACACGGTCACGCATCACACAGCTGGGGCCACACACCGGGGAAGTGTCCATTTGGGTCCCAGGGCCACCCATAGCTGCCGCTCCCTGTCTGTCAGATGCTTCTCCAGCAGAGCTATTGCACCCCCTGTTAGGGCGGGACTGGCCACTCCTGCTCCCAAAGCCGGTCCCTGAGTGGTGTTCACCATCTACAACAAATTTTGTGCATGTGAGGATTTGAGCACTGAAGCAGACGTCCCATCTCAGGAATACAAGTTTCATGGTGACCGATGAGGGGCATCCGGGAGGGTGTGGGTGTTGGCCGGTGCTTGGTTGCAGCAGTTAAACTTATTGCTGCGGACATCATTGGCGGATATCTGGGAGCTGCTGTCAATTTGCGGGAGACTCCTGGATCTTCTGGGAGAGGTGGGATGTCTGTTGAAAGTACCTTTAAGATAATGTTCCCCAAAACTGCAAGCTGGTTGCAGGTCAACTTATCTACTCCTCCACTAATAGCGATATTAAATTTTAAATAGCCACGGTGCCATAAGCAGTTGACGAAGGTAAATCTGTATTACAGCTGGACACCTTGTGTATCTCTGTGTGTGTTTGTACTGGATGTGTTGTTTCTTTGTACTGGTGTTTCGCCTCACCAGGTCCAAAGGTACGAAGACGTGATGCAGTAGCTCTTCAGCACTGGGGTTCGAGATGGAGGACTTGAGACGCGCCTGAGCCAGGAAATAACGGACGTTACACATCTAAGACCAGGAGCTTGTAAAGCAGTAGTTCAGTGCACAGCACACATCCAAGGTTATGATGAGTCCGTCAGCCTCACCAATAAACAGAAGCTGTATTTGATTTTCTGGAAGATGTCAATAAACTCTTCCTCCTTTGGGGGGATGGCTTTCCGTGATATCAGGTCATCTGTCTCAGAAAAAAAATGGTAGGCCTTGTGTCAAAAGCCCCTCTCTTAAACACACATGACCATCATGCCTCTTTATGATTGGCTGCCTGCGTGTTTTAATTCCTACATCAGGCATTGAGCAAATATGCACATATGAAAGGTGGATGATGTGTGATTACTGGTCCGTCGTCGACTTACGACCACGATCGGTTATGACTGACTGGTCAGCCCTTTATTGCTTATGGAAAAATTATCATATATGTAGTATACTGTACAGTATATTAAAATTATATCAGCTTTAAGTCATATTGTCTGGTGTTTTTTTTTTAACCTTTTTATTCTGCAGTTGGAGCAGAAAATGTCACATACTCATGCTGGGCAACACCCACACTGCCAGACACTGCGCTGTCACGGCCACATATCTGCAGACTCAGAACGGTCGTAAGTCGACAATGACCTGTACATTGCGTAGCATTATTCTAAGCTGATGTAATACCATGGTTACGTGTTTAGTTGCCTGTTTTCTGTGGCTTGGTGTGTCCTCCAACGAAAACCTTGAAAATCTTGGGCTCCATAACTCAGCAGTTAGACTACAGGTACTGTACAGATGCTCCTCTACTTACAAGCTTTCAACTCACAAACTTTCAGACATACGAACGAATTGTGTTCATTGAGCTCCCGTTTCCTGTCCGCAACATAAAATTTTTTTCTGCGCGCCAATTCCGGGTAGTATGACTTCTGGCCGCTACTCCTGCCGCGCAGCAGCGTAGCATGCGTACTCCCAGCATCCTAGTTCTTTGTACTTGCGTATACCCTTAAAATGATGTTGAATAACGACTTGCGAACAGTTACGAGCAGCCGTTCAGAAAGTACCTCATTCGTAAGTAGAGGAGCGTCTATATTCCCAGAGCTGCAAGTTCAGATCTTGCAAGGCTTGCGGACTATGCTTTGAGAAGTGTCTAACTCTGTAGGTTAGGGACCTGTGCTTGTGTCCAGGAGATTGTTGGTTTGAATCCCGCAGTCAGCAGAGTAATCATGTCACCGTTGGGCCCTTAACCCCTGCTACTTCCATGCTGCAGGCTGACCCTGTGCTCTGACCTCAAAACTCACCCTCACCTGCATATACACGTTTCACTTTTGTCATGGAGAGCATGATGAAATATGTGAAAACTGCCCAACTGCCCAATGGCGATGAATAAAGTGGCATTATTCTGTTAAGCTGGCCTTTCAGACCCAGCCTGTACCTGCCCCCTTCCATCTCATTGGTGTTCCTCTAAGCCCTGTCACTCCTTCTTCTGCTCCATCCGAATCAGGATACAGATCCCTTACTCCAAACTGATCGGGTTACTGTCACTGCTGCGGCTATGGTGGCGTTTAGAGTCTCGAGGTCACAGCCTGAGTCATCCCCATCCCCCGAGGCTCCTGCTCTTCTCTCACCTGCTTGGCCCTTCTTCTTGGACTTCCTCCTCCTCTGCACACTAGAAGCCTCTGCCACTTGCTGCAGCTTTCCCATGAAGCGCTCAATGTCGTCAATGCAGTGGTTCAGGATTTTCTAAAATTAGTAGTAGTTAATGCTATAGAGTTGGGGGGGAGGGGGGGCAGTTTCGAGAATCCTGGCAAAGCCCTCACCCCTCCAGGACCCATACGCCTGCACAGTATACCTCCCCCACATCTCAAATACAGAGGACACTGTGGCGGATAGGTGCTGCACAATCACAAACAGAAACAGTACATCCATAATGAGTGACAGACACGGACGTACCACTTCCCTCTCTGCCTGGGTGGTGGACATGAAGCTGGTCTCACGCCCAAATCCATTTACTGTCAGAATAAGAAAACACTAACAATTAATCACTGCTAGAGAGGGCTAATCCATCCATCCATCTGTATATCCAACCATCCATCCATCCTTCCATCCATCATCCATCCACACCACTTATCCAATATAGGGTTGCAGTGAGCCTGGGGACAGGATGCATATGGCACAGGGCAGTGGACACCCTGAGCAGGAAACTAGTCCATTACAGGATACACACACGGTGACTCATGAAGAGCTAAGTAACAATGTATAAACTGCGATTCATCTAATAGCCAGATATCTGTGATATCTGGAAGGAACCATGAACATACAAACTTCACACACAGAACTGGGGCTGGCATCTCCTTCCTTGGAGGTGTGAAGCAGCAGTGGAACCCACTGAGCCTTTGTGCCCCACACAGAAGAACAATAATAGTTAGTAACAGTTAGTCATAGTCAGATAGCAGAACAATGACGGTTAATCACGATAAAACAGGAGAACTCTAACAGTTAATCACGATCAGGTAGCAGAATAAAAACAGTTAATCATGATCAGAAAGGAGAATATTAACAATTAATCACGATCAGACAGGAGAACACTAACAGTTGATCATGATCAAATAGCAGAGTAATTACAGTTAATCATGGTCATCGAGTAGAACAATAACTGTTAATCATGATCCAATAGCAGAAATAATAATGGTTGATCATGATAAGATAGCAGAATAATTACAGTTAATCATGGTCAGAGTAGAACACTAACAGTTAATCATGATCAGACAGGAGAACACTAACAGCAAATCATATAATCAGATAGTACAACATTAACAGGTACTCATGGTCAGATAGCAGAACAATAACAGTTAATCGTGATCAGATAGCAGATCACTAACACTTTGGCCAGGTTGGAGAACACAGCCAGACACTTGTGAAACGAATTAAGATGCACGGTAAGGACCCTGTCTGCTCAGACATGTGTGATGTCTTTCTGTGCTGTGTCTCTGTGACCATGGCAACCGGGACTGCCATGTTGGTTCTGCCCACATTCCTGGGATTTTCATGTGACAGCACCTTCTCACCTCTGTATCCAGGGGAGGGTGGGGGGCCGCTGGACCCTAGCCGAAACATCCTGAAGGCTGCTGGATTGCGAGGTGCCACAGGAGGGGGGCTCATCGGCTGCTGCATGAGGGAAGTGACAGCACAATGCTTCCTCAACAGGAACCACATTGAGTGCCATTTGCCATTGTTACACATGTTCTGTGTGGATGCTGCGATCCGGTAATGCTCCCATCAAAAGAAACCATGATGTAAAGGAATATAACCCTTAATATCCTATATGGTCAAAAGAATGTGGACACCAGCTTGTCCAACATCTCATTCCAAAACCAAGCATATTAATATGAGGTGGTCCACCATTTGTTGCTATAATAGCCTACACTTTTCTAGGATGACATGCCATTACATGTTGGAACATTGTTGTTACTTGCTGCCATTCAGGTTGGGTATTGATGTTGTCTGATCAGGTTCCTTTCTGAGAGTTTACCACTTTCCAACTGAATTTTGCTACTAGACCTTTCTAAACATATGGCAAACTGACTTATTACAAAGATGTCGTCTCCTGTTGGTGCCAAGTGGAAAGTCACTAACCTCCTCAGTACAGTCACGCATTCTGCTGCTGCTGTTTGTTGCAGGAGTTTGTTGCGTGACTGTGTGCATAATTATACACCTGTGCAGGAATTAATTAGGAATTTCCTCTAATAAATAGGGGTGTCCACATACTATTAGCAAAGTAGTGTACTTGATTTCATTTTATAATGGTGTGAAACTTTCTGCATTCCATTCTGCATACATGTTCCTCTTCCTGGGATGTGCAAAGCATTTGGAATGAGCTCAGGAATGTCGCAATTCACCCTGAGGAATACAGACCTGCCAGTGAGACTGTGAAACTTGGCAGCCACACTGAGGAGAGCCCGCATGGAGAGACAGGGCACGGTTACTGTAGGTCCCCTGTAGGGGCATGTATGGGCGCCAGGTGGGGGAGGGTTTCCATGGGAGAATTCACAAATACTGTACTTCCTGAGTGAATACATTATTATTTTCTTGCTCAGGGGGCCCTATCAAGGGCAGCCCCCCCTGAATGTGCCAAGGCATCCATGCCCCTCCATGACCCCTGTGAAGTGTGTGGCTCAGTGCGCTAACCCTATGTGCCTGTAATAAAAGGGACGCCAGTTCAAACCCAGCCTCAGCACAAGTTCCTTGAGCAAGTCCCTTAACCCCCAGCTCCCTGGATGCCCCAATGGTTGGCTGCCCTTCACAGACAGCTTACTCTACAAAGAACAAATTGAGGGATGTGTGAAGACAATTCCCCCACAGAGATCAATAAAGTGTCAATTATTAAATGCCCCTCTGTTAGGGTCCCCATATGTGAGGTAGAATTACATTTTTAAATGCATCACTCAGACATCTGTGTGTAGTTCCAGTCAAGGCACACAGAAATATCAAATAGTTTACTCTAATCAAGGGTTCTTATAATGCATGCTGTCTGTAGATGTCTGCAAGCCCAATACAACCAGACCACTATTAAATATGGGAATCCTGTGATCCTGACCTATTTTTCTACACTATTTTTCATTGGATGCTGTAAATTCCTTTTTCCTGGATCCGCTTTACCATCCATCTATTCATCTATTTCTTTGATGTGGACACTAGATGAAAAACTGAGTGAAAGACAGGAGACCAGAAATCCAGAGATAGTGTGTCTAACATGAACACAGCACATATGAGTGAGGGTGTGTAACACATGAACACAGCACATATGAGTGAGGGTGTGTAACACATGAACCCAGGACATATAAGTGCCAGTGTGTATAAAATGGAGACGGTTGTATGAAGTGAATACACCACATACGAGTGACTGTGTAACGTGAAGTGAAACTGTAAATGTGAAAATATGTAATGTGAACACTGAGTGTGTAACATGTTAAAACAGCACATATGAGTGACTGTATATGTAATGTGAACACAGCACATACAAGTGACCATGTGTGGAACATGAACACAGAACATACGAGCGATCGTGTGTATAACATGAACACAGCATACAGTATACGAGTGACAGCATGTATAACATGAGCAGAGCACATACGAGTGACAGCAGGTATAACATAAACACAGTACATATGAGTGACCATGTGTGTGACATGAACACAGCACATACGAGTGATCAAGTGCAGAAACTTGCCATTGTTTCTTACCTTTTCATCTGATTGTCCGGCATGCATTGTCCCTTCTTTCACATGCCAGCAGCCAGGCTCTGGTAGTATCGTCAGCTTGCAGCCAGCCCTTCCTCTGTCACACCTTTCTCAATAATGTCGAAACAAGTATAACAAGTCTTTCTTCACATACATTCTTGCTCTCTTTCTTTTCCTGTCTATAAGAGAACTGGGCCATCTGCTCTCATTTGCACCATATTGGTCCATGTGGTAGAACATCACCTCAGACATCAGAGTCATCAAGAAAAGTTTACTGGGGTCCTGGAAAGACAAAGAATCTGAATGAAAATGCACAAAGAATCCAATCACCAAAGCACTAGATGTAAATAATTGTCCATCCATCCATCCATCCATCCATCCATATATCCTTCTTCCAAAATCATTTGTCCAGTACAAGGTCATGGTGAGCCTGAAGTCTATTCCAGGATGAATGGGGCAAAAGCTGAGAGTCACCCTGAAGAGGAAGCCAGACCGTTACAGGCACATACTCTCACACTCGTTTAATCCTGCTTCGTATTTCACTTTTCCATGCGCACGGTCGTGCTCGCGGAGTCTGTGTACATATTGCATTTGTTTGTGGATGGTTGCAGTCGGCACATGCATACAGTAATGATATTCCCCCAGAGCATCAGAAGACAAATGTATTGCAACAAACACAAATAGAAACAGTGTAGTGAAATGGGTAAACTTTTAGGTACAGTTTTAAAATTACTATGCTTTTGAGGCAGGGGTCGTAAACCCCTCTGCACACCGACAAATGTGTCTATGGAAAGGCTCATCTGTGTCCGTGGTGAAAATTTTTAATTGAAAAAATAACCTGTGTAGGTTATGTGTTAAATATCATGTCTGTGGTAAAAATTGCATTTCGATCAAAATGTTTGTCAGATCATGGTGAAGACACCTGACAGGAGACAGTACCGTAATGCAGCATATCTCGGTATTTTGAAATCTTGAAATAAAATCAGCTGGGACCCCCTCCTGCTTGGTGAATTTTATCGTCAAGATTTTAAAACGCTGGCATAATGTTGCTTTTCAAAATTCGTTTTATACCACAATAGAATGTTTAGACAATATGAATTATTAGATACCACAACTGTGATGTGACAAAATGAACTATAACCAAAAAAAATGCATACAAATACAAAAAAACACTATTGTCCATTGTATAGGCAAAGTTATTGTAGTGCAGGACACATCAGACAATATACTTCCATCTCTATCTTTGCTAAGTATCTGGGTGATCTATTTCCACAAATACCTCCAGCTAACACATCTTTGTGCTCCGTAGCAGGTGCCGATTGGGTAGTGACATCTGCACAAGCACAGTCAACTGGACACCCCTGATGAAATTCTTGTCCCTCAGTCCTGTTAGCGGGCTGTAACAGCACAAAGGAAAGCGAAGTATGAACTGGCCTTTACACATACACACACTGTGAGATACCGATTCTCATACGTTTTTGACTGTGAGAGAAAACTGAACTATGCAGGAGAACCTGGAGCAAACAACCATAAGGCAACACAACTGAACACAATGACCGGCTGATGAGAGAAAGAGAGGCAGGCACATAAATACATCATGATGTAAACAAGAGACATAGCACAGAACAGGTGAGGGTAATTAACAGACAAAAGATGAAACACCAAGGGAGACTAGAAAACAAAGGCGACTGAATATTGCTACATGACTAGACATGAGTGCAGATTACTAAAACAAAGGCACAAAACAACCAATACATAAATACATAAGCCAGATCTACACAGCGGACAAACCAAAACCCTAAATATCAACAAAGCAAACCCACGACAGTAGGGGAGCTTGACCTTTAGCTGCATGTTCAGCCCATTCAGCCATGCAGCGGCTCTGGGAGTAGGGAAACACATTAGGGTCCTAACTAAAGGAAACGAGGGGAACACAGAGCGGGATGACCAGTGACATTGGCTGGCCAAACAGGGAATTAACAGATATAAACCAGGGACCAATTTTGACACAGGGAGAACACGCAAACCTCATACAGGCACAGGGAGGACATGTGATCCCTACATAAACACAGGGAGAATTTGTGGCCTCCTCCCCCCGTTTTGCTTCTTCTTGCCCTGTGTGATGTCATCACCGCCATAGCGGCTGTGGGCCACCCCCCTCCATGAAGGCCCACTAGTGGGAGGTTCTGCCGTTTCCGCACCTCATGCCCCTCTGGCACTGAATCAGACAGAGTCTGCAATATGAACCTTTGCCATGCATAGCATCCCTTCCTGTTGGTACTGAACTAGCAGTTACTGCACTGATGATAACATCACAGGTCTGCAGCTAATTATCATTTTATGACATCCAATGTCATGAGTATCATGAATCAAGACCGACCGAATCCAGAAATAGACTTCATACGTATGGTAAGGAATGGCCTGGTATTCTTTATTTGTCCCCATGACGAAACAACTTTTTTCAACATGTTTGGGTACATACAACAGATTCACCAGCAACACAACAGTCAATAAATACGACATATTTATAACTAAAGAGCAACACAGTTTAATAAATACAAAATATGTACATAACTTTACAGCATTTGCAACATAAATCAGGATCTAGATGTAAACACTTAATATTTTGCATGCACTCATATTTTAACAAAAACAAAGTCAATTAAGTATATGTTTTGATATGTTTGTTTTAGTGGCATTTTAGGAATACACGAGTGCTACTTGGATTGTCTTATGTGTTGCACAGAAGCGAGTGGACAAGCTGAGGAATGGACTGTGACTGTCCATCACTCATCCTCTTGCGATTTTACAGCCCTTTTCACCCGGTCTAACCTGCTCCTTCTGGAAGGGTTTTCCTGTCAACTTGCTTTACAATTCCAATATCAGGTGGCAAACTGAACGGCAACAGAAGAGCAACAGAAACACAAAGGTGCTCTGTTCCCTCCTAACACCAGAGCAGATATGTGCCTCAGTGATGCCTCGGGAAAGGAATCACTGCTAAGAGCAAGGTTCTGCAGAAGGATAATGATTATTTGTTTGAAACAGCATGTGACCTCCTCTGTAGACAAATAAAAAAGTTGAATGCAAATCTATTTTAGCTGTTTGTAAATATGTGAATGCAAATCTTAGGGTTACATAACCATAGGTGATTCTAGGGACACTGGGGGCCATAGACAAAAACTCCACATGGTAAAATTTATGAGCATTATTAAAGTGTGAAGTCTAAATTAAAAAATCAACAAAGAATTTAATAAACACAATTCCTTTATTTTCACTTTACTTACTACTTAATACCCACATAAAGCAGATTTGTCATTGCATTGTACTGTGTAATCAGTCCAGCTCAGGGGCCCCAGGCAATTGCCCATGTTGCCTGTCCTGTCGCTAAGCCTCTGTAGATAACTTGCAAACTATTAAGAACTACAGAAGCTCACGAGATGTGAGTACGTTAATGAATAGGTATTTGAAGAGGAGAACGTGCGGTAGTGTTTCGCGTTCGCCTGAGGGTTTTGATGCGCAGTACCATCAACCACAGACAGGGGGCGCCACAATTCCACTGTTAAAACCCTCACATACCCCCCTATGCAACGTATTTTTCGTAGGGGTGGTCCTACACACTGAAGCATATACATATAGCTGCACGTAAAATGATCAATCCAATATGATTTGTTGTGATGCATTAGGTGATATCTTCCTGGGGATTCCGTTAGTGCAGCTCCAAAAAAGGGCATCGAGCGCGACAGACGGGCTCCCGTCGTGTCACACTCGTGGGTATGACAAATTCATTGTCCTGCCAGGCTTTGTATTTAGGTAGTTACTTCCGTAACCTGATCTCCACCCGGCAATCGTCCAAGGACTCCATGTATTTCATGAACATTTTCGGAGAATCTGAAGGGCAGGACTTAAGAAAGTTTAAGCGTTGTCCTGTCGCCGTGACTTTAGTGCAGTCATGGCGCGTGCTGACGGGCTGTACACTGAAGTACTACAGACAGTTCATTAGATGATCGTTTTTATTTTTATTGTTTAGAAACCACACGAACCACTTTAAGCAGCTTCTGCTGGTGCTTGGTGTGACGTTCTGCTCTTAATGGACCAACGAGAAATGACGATGCGGGGTAAAGCTCGGTCTTCCGAATGAACTTTGCAGGCTAAATGAAGGTAAATGTTGAGCCTGTTCATGTGCGCTTTGCCGTTATCGCCAGAGTCTGGCTTTATAACACTGTGCTGGCTTTAAACTTTAAAAGGAGCTGAGCTAACCTGCACGCTGCATTTATTTTGCCACGTTTTTTTCAAACGCTGGTTAATTTGTGCGTATGTTTATGACTTGGTATTAATGTGTGGAAAATTAGCCAGTTGCTTTAAATACACCTTGATCTGTGCGCAGATTTATTTATCAGTGACAAAACATACCCACAGAATTTGTGAGCGCAAGTATAGTGAAGCGAGAGATGGTAAAATGAATGGTTAATCGGTAGGTGCATAAAGTAACCTACATAATGTGCACAAAAAAGAACACACAGTAAAGCTATTTCATTGCAGCGCAGGGGGACTGACTGTCGTGGGTTAGGGTTCATCTGCAGGAAGACCGCCTGCATGCGCCCATCTCTTTGGAAAGTTCTAGATGTATGCATGGATGATCTCGCTCTGACAGGCACACCCCCTGTCACAGTGACAGCTGTCAGACGGTGCTGACACACTGCAGGGTTTAACATCACAGTTTGCTGCTGTGTTTCGGTGGCACAGGACTGCTGCAGTGTGTTTAAGCACAGACTTCTTCAGCACAGTCTCTCCTGGGGGACATGTGTCCTGGCACAGGACTGGGGCTCAGGGTTATAAATAGAGGCAGGATAAGGGGATTCGAGCGACTGCGGAGTGTGTTTTTCCACATGGTCACAAGCTCTATGCTGAGCCAAAATGGCAACTTTAAACTTTCGTTTTCTCCACACTGCTGTCCTTGTCCAGACACAGAAACACAGGGAAACCCTGACATGCAGACTGAGAGACACAGGGAAACCCTGACATACAGACTGAGAGACACAGGGATACCCTGATTTACAGACACGGAAACAGAGGAAACCCCGATGTACAGGCACAGGAAACCCCGGGTGTACAGACACAGAGACACAGGGAAACCCTGAGGTACAGATACAGAGACACAGGGAAACTGATGTAGAGACACAGGGAAACCCCGAAGGAGAGACACAGGAAAGCCCTGATGTAAAGATACAGAGAAAGAGGGGAACCCTAATGTACAGACACAAAGACACAGATATTTACAGAGAGAGATGATGAGGAAGGCATGTCATTGACTAAGGCTGGCTGGGTTGTGAGGTGTTGAACTATTTTGGACTGTGCCGGATTTGTGACTGTGACACGTCCATACATTGCCTGCTGACAGTCCTGCTGCTGCGCCCTCCTTCGCTTTTCCAGACTCCCCTGCCTACTGACGAGGAGGGCGTGCACGTGCCAGATGGCCAGTCAGATACAGTGCCGCTGGAGCCGATTTCAGAACAAGCGGAAGGGGATGTGGTCCCCGAACCCGGCCGTCCGGCCTGGGACAGCAAGCTGCAGTACGTGCTGGCACAGGTGGGCTTCAGTGTGGGCCTGGGAAATGTCTGGAGGTTCCCCTACCTGTGTCACCAGAATGGCGGAGGTGAGCTGCTCTCAAAATGATGTGGATGGGGCCTTTGGAATGTCCCCCCCATTCAGGGAAGTGACCCCCCCCCCCAGGAGCCTTCCTGTTGCTGTATGTGCTCCTGCTGATGCTGGTGGGAGTGCCACTATTCTTCCTGGAGCTGGCGGCGGGGCAGTCCGTCCGGCAGGGCAGCATCGGTGTGTGGAAGCACATTGCCCCCCGGCTGGCGGGAATCGGCTACTCCAGTTGCATGGTGTGTAGGGGGACAAGATGGGGGGGGGGGTTGTCTCTGTTTGCCTGTATGTATCAGTCGAAAACACTGCGTCAGGCTGTGTTCTTAGAGAACCATGTTTTTACTGAAGCACATTTTGTATACTATCTGAGTCAATGTTTTAGAGTTTCCTGTGTCAGTACATCAAGGATTCCCTGTTTGTCTGTGCCTGTATATCAGGGACTCTCTGTATCTCTGTTTCTGTATGTTAGGGTTTCCCTGTGTCTCTGTGTCTATATGTCAGGTTTTCTCTGTGTCTGTGACACGTCCTCTGTGTAGAACTTTATGTTCTAGCCTTAAGTGTCTTACTGCCAAGCAATTCCAAGCTTCCACGTGAGGATTAGCCCCGCCCTCTGTTCACACTGCTGGCCTATCAGAGGGCCCCACTGCACCCCACCTCCCATGTGACGCCTTGCGGCACAGATCGTTTCTGTATGAAACACGACTCCTGTGTAATGTTTGGATCTGGGCACAGTACAGCCCCGGCAGCTCGCCAGTGCGGCTTGCTGTTCACTGTTACTGTAGTAACCCTTTGTGGGGGGGTGCTGTAGACCTGAGATACGATTTAAAGCCTCCTCCTGCCAGGTGTGCTTCTATGTGGCCCTTTACTACAATGTCATCATTGCCTGGAGCCTCTTCTACCTTGGCAACTCCTTCCAGTCCCCCCTTCCCTGGGAGCAGTGCCCCATCTACAGCAACTTCACCGGTCAGTCCCTCTGTTTTGGGTATAGTGCTGCTCCCTAACCCTAACCCACGCCGGTCAGTCCCTCTGTGCTGGGTATAGTGCTGCTCCCTAACCCTAACCCACGTCGGTCAGTCCCTCTGTGCTGGTTATAGTGCTGCTCCCTAACCCTAACCCACATCGGTCAGTCCCTCTGTGCTGGGTATAGTGCTGCTCCCTAACCCTAACCTATGCCGGTCAGTCCCTCTGTGCTGGGTATAGTGCTGCTCCCTAACCCTAATCCACATCGGTCAGTCCCTCTGTGCTGGGTATAATGCTGTTCCCTAACCCACGTCAGTCAGTCCCCCTGTGTTGGGTATAGTGCTGCTCGCTAACTCAAACCCACCCCTGTCAGTCCCCTTGTGTTGAGTATAGTGTTGCTTCCTTCCATGCTGGTGACTCACTCTACAAACTCTCTTCTCATCCAGTTCAGGAATGCTCCAGAACCTCCCCCACCACCTACTTCTGGTTCCGCGAGGCCCTGGACATCACAGACTCCATCGATCAGACCGGGCAGTTCAACCCCATCATGACTGGCAGCCTGATGGCTGCCTGGGTGATTGTCTGTCTTGCCATGATCAAGGGCATCAAGTCATCCGCCAAGGTCGAAACTCACATGCACACGTACATGCACGCAGACACACTTACATGCATGCAGAAGCCCACACACATAGGCATACAGACACAGATGCAAACCTAGATGCATGTAGATACATACGCAGTCTTGACATGGGACCTTTCTCCTGCAGGTGATGTACTTCTCCTCTGTGTTCCCCTACATTGTTCTTCTCTGCTTTCTCATGCGGGGGCTGCTGTTGGATGGGGCCTCTGAAGGCATTTCCTACATGTTCTATCCTAAGGTAATGTAGCTCCACACCGGGCCTGGGGTAAAGTTGCCCCCAGGTGCAGCTGCTCATCTTGTCCCATTTCCAGCTGCAGATCTGGGGCGAGGTGCAGGTCTGGAGGCAGGCCGCCACACAGGTTTTCTTTGCCCTGGGGCTCGGCTTCGGCTCTGTCATCGCCTACTCCTCCTACAACCCCCCGAACAATAACTGCCACCGCGACGCCCTCATGGTGTCCGTCATCAACTTGCTCACGTCCGTGCTCGCCTCTCTCGTGGTCTTTGCGGTGCTGGGCTTCCGTGCAAAGAGCATGGCGATGGCCTGCGTGCTGCGGTGAGCCCGGGGGCCTGGGGCCGGCATCTGTCCGTGATCGCCGGCTCGCCGTGTCTGAAGTGTCCGGCTCTCTCCCCAAAGGAACGTGGGCCTCCTGACGGAGATGTCAGCCATGGGGTCTACGCAGCATCTCCCGCTGCCATGGGCCAGCGGATCTGATCCTGGATCAGTGTCCCTGCGGGAATACCGGCAGTGGTTCCAGCAGTATGGTGCCCAAATTGGGAGTGGCATCACGGACTGCAGCCTGGAGGAGGAGATGAACCAGGTGGGCTTTCGCTGCTGCTGGCGGCCAGTGTCCTGTCAGCTTCTCCACTGACCTTCCCTGACTGTGCCCCCCTCAGGGAGTGGAAGGCACGGGGCTGGCCTTCATTGCCTTCACCGAGGCCATGGTTCTCTTCCCAGCCTCGCCTTTCTGGTCCATGCTCTTCTTCCTCATGCTGCTCAACCTCGGCCTCAGTACCATGTTTGGCACCATGCAGGGCATCCTCACCCCCCTCAGTGACAACTTCCATCTGCTGAGACGCCACAAGACCCTGCTAACGGGTAAACCACAGTTATCCGCTTAGGTTAGGCCAGCCCTCCCCCGTGGCACCAGTTCTGACCCCTCCCCATGCTCGCCTCTTTCCCACCCTAGTGGCCAGCTGCATCCTGGGCTTTCTCATCGGCCTACTCTTCACCCAGCGCTCTGGGAACTACTTTGTCACCATGTTTGATGACTACTCCGCCACCCTGCCCCTCATCATCGTGGTCGTATTTGAGACGTTTGCCGTGTCCTGGATCTACGGCGCCGACCGGTGAGGGTCCGGCTGACTCACATCAGATCATCATCACTGCTTCACTCACTTAGCCTATCATCTATCTCTAGTGCAGGCACCTCTGTCTCAGTTGAAGGTCTTACCTGCTGTCTGCCAGGTTTCTCGAATAGAAGGAAAGAGTTATTTCTAAACAAGGTTTGCAAGAGGTTCAAAGAGGTTTTGGGGCTGAACCACCTCTAACTACTTCATCTCTGCAGCTTCCTGGATGACATAGAAGTCATGCTCCAGTGGCGCCCCCCAGTGGTTTACAAATACCTGTGGCAGTTTGTGTGCCTGCTGGCCATGGTGGGTCTTCTGGGGGCCAGTTTGCTGCGCATGTTCTTCAAATGGCCCACCTACACAGCCTGGAACCAGAGCATGGTAAGGGCCGCTTGGATGGCAATGATGATAGTGATGCTGATTGTGATTCTGATGAACATGTGATGCTGATGGTGATGATAATGATGATGCTGATGTTGTTGGTGATGATGTTGAGGCTGGTGTTAATGCTGATGATGGTGATGAAGGTGATGATAATGATGATGATGCTGATGGTGATGATGTGGATGCTGGTGATGATGCTGATGCTATGATGATGGTGTTCTCCCCATGTGTTCCCATGGGGTTCCTATGGCTTCCTCACTTTTCTCCTGTAGTCCCATGCTGGGTGTCCACTGTGCTTCCCAGGAAAGGCTCCAGGCTCCCCACCACCCTATAATGGGTGGACGATTGTGATGATGCTTTTGAAGGTGATAATGAGGATGCTGATCTCTTCATCCCTCCTGGCACCTTACAGCTGTCTCTTTCTGTCCCTGCTGCTTCTCCCCGTGCCACAGGCCTCTGAGAAGGTACTGCCATACCCCGGTTGGGCTCTTGCCCTGCTCTCTCTGCTCATCCTGCTGGCCTGCCTGCCTCTGCCCGTGCTTTACATCCACACCCATCTGAGGCGTTGCCTAGGCAGCCAGGGGGGCCCACTGGAGGCGGGGCTTAGCCACAGAGACACGTATGTCAAATGCGAGACGGACGAACCTGCCGCCGCCCAGCAGCTCATCCCATTGGAGGAGGAGCAAGAAGCTGGCAGGGCCTCCTTCCTGTCACTGGGTGCAGAGCACTACAGGCTCCTCCCTCAGAAGGACCTGGTGGAGGAGGACATTGAAGAGGACACTGGGGTATGAGGGAGCGCGAGAAGGGAGAGGATGATCAAACGGAAGGAGTGATGAGGAGATCAGCTGGTGTTGCAGGCCTGGGTGGAGGAGGCGCTGCTCCATGCCGTGCTGTCCTCCTCCAGCTTCTTCAGGAGCCACTCTCTGTTCTCGCTGTCGCACTATGATGTGGCTGAAACTGCACAGTGCAGGCAGACCAGCATCCATGTAAACACACACACACAGATATACACACACAGATAGACACACACAGATATACACAGACAGACAGACACACACACACAGATATACACAGACAGACAGACACACACACACAGACACACACAGATACAGTATACACAGAAAGACACACACACAGACACACACACAGATATACACAGACAGACAGAACACACACACAGACATGCACACGCAGACACACACAGATACACACAGACAGACACACAGAGATACATACACACAGACATGCAGAAACACACACAGATATACACAGACAGACAGAACACACACATGCACACACAGACATGCACACGCAGACACACACAGATACACACAGACAGACACACAGAGATACATACACACAGACATGCACACGCAGACACACACAGATACACACAGACAGACACACAGAGATACATACACACAGACATGCAGAAACACACACAGATACACACACACTTAGATATATACACACACACATAGATACACACAGACAGACACACTCAGATACACACACACACACAAACCTGTCGTTTCAGTGGCCATGTTACGAGCTACACTGGCTGACAGTGTAACTGACAGAGGTTGTGATGTGTCTGCTGTTAACAGCAATCTGATTGGATTTTTTTGTGTGTATTCTTTTGGACTCCCACGGAGTTGTATATTTTACTTTGAGCAAGAGATGAAAATAAGAAACGAACAATAAATAACTTTTCTTTGGGCGTCCCCCGACCCTGAGCAGGTTAAGTGCTCTGATGGATGGATGGATGAATGGATGGATGGGTGGATGGATGATTGGATGGATGGAATGAGGTTCTTGAGGGCCATTTTAAATTCATTTTCAATATGTCGTGATTCGACATAGGAAAAGCCAGAACAGCCAAAATTTTATTAGTTTTAATTTATGGGAAGCAGGAATAAAGATCTAATAAATATTTTTGTATCTGTATCCCAGCATCAAGGTATACAGTTGGAGGTGATGCAGTAACAGCCCAATTCCTCAGAGGCTCCACAGTAGGTGTTAGGTTTCAGGCCACCCCCACACTGTTGCTGGTGACCCCCCCCCCACCAGAATATGAAATTAACCATCCGGTTCCCGACCCCAACCTTCTTCGGAGCCAGTAGGTTAAGCCAAATTTGATTAACCTAGTCGTCATTTGTCTTCTTCCTTCCCAGTCTGACAGGCTGGTCATGGTCATTGGACCCTAACCTGTACTTACACAGGTGAGACTCTCACGTTCTAGTTTAATTGCTCATGGCTGATTAGCCTTCAACTGAATCATACCGTGATTGTGAAGGGGGTATATATAGGCCCCCTAAAATGTTCTTCACACCTGCAGTTAAGGTTTCCCAGTCCTTTTGAAGGTCACTTGATGTGATCCCCCAATTCATGAGTCACTGCTGGATAAGTTGACAGCCTTTTCGGCCCTTTACCTGGCTGGTTTCTGGTTGTTCCCAGTGTCTCCTGCTTCACCTTATTCTTGTGTACTTCTGTTTTTGAACCTGGCAGCAGATCCACGATTAAATCAGGATGTAGAAATCAATCAATCAAAAATGCAGATGGTCTTTAAAAAGAGTGGTCTTTAATTTTTATATAAATAATTGGAAGGTAGACCGCAGCACTATGACTGTCAAATGTAACAAAAGCCTTTGAATGGGGAGATGGAGTGAGGGGGGGCGCGAGCTTCATGTCAGAAAGGTGAGGGAGATAAAGGGGAGGGACGGGCGCGCGGGCGGGCGGAGAGAGAGAGACAGCAGGCGGGAGGGAGGCGGCAGATCTGCGGCGTCCGGGAGCCGGAAGGATGGAGGTCCGACCGGAGAGACTGAAAGCGGCCGCGGGGAAGACCCTCGGCAAAATACACAGGTACTGCGAAACTTTACAGCCTTTTTCAACGGAACGATTTGGTCACAAATTCTAGGATTTTCACACACTCCTCCCCGATATACTCGCGTCTAACTTTAATTTTAAGTATGTTTTGCACAATACAGGTACCTGATTAGTGAAAGTATCTTTGTTATGACGGAGAATGTGAATGGGAAAACAAAGTTAACTTGAAAATGACACTAAAACCTGCTTTATGACATAACGTGCACAGGACTCTGAAATGAACAAAAGGTGTTTCCGTCAACCTTATATACAAATTACTTAATGGCCTTATCACACATTGCTGGCCAATGTCTTACATTTGGAAATTAGCACCATCTCTACAATTATCCAATTTATGTTCCAAAAAGTGTCATTAATAAAGTAAAATACCCGCAAATACGCGATTATTATGCCTCTTACGTGTTCGTTTTCTTTTTTTTTTTTTCTTTTTTTTGAAGGGCCGTGGGAGGGATGTGGGGGGCCCACGGTAGACTTTACCGAGCATATGCATTTTTTTTTCATATTCAGGGGCCACTATAAAGAGCTGGGCTCCTGAATCTGAAAGGGTATCCACGCCGATCCAACCCCCCTAGTGCTTTGAATCCGCTGGAAATTGCCGCGAGGTAAATCAGTGAAGCGTTCATTAAGATGTATAATTTTAACGTGCGATTTCTAATTACTGTTAGGGGTGAACAAATACAACAAGAAAATAATCACATAATTCTCGAAATGACATGCATTAGATAAATTTCTCTGAAATATACATTTAACTCCAACCATTCGGGTGAATTTCCTGTCAACCACTTCGGCAGAGATTTTATCTCGTACTTTTTAAAAATGGGAGCAAACTGGGGCAACGTGGACAAATCAAGTCACATAAAGCTACGACAGCGTTGATATAGAAACTCAGTCAAATATGTATTTTTGATCAAATCAATCCAAGCCATACCCTTACTATTTATTTATTGTTAAATTTATATTGTTATATTTATTTATTGTTGTCTATTGTTAAATAGGCCTAATTAAGAGATTAAACACACAAACAATTCTAATAAACGATAATTATCAAATACCTTTTTGTAAACCAGAATTATAAAATGACGTAAATTCAAGAATGTTACTGTGAGATTCAGTTTTGGAATTTATTTCTTTTATTTTGTTTAACTAACATAACAGTTTAAATTAATGTTATTTTAATTACTTTCTCCGAGCGATTTCGAGTCTTTTTTGGCATCCTGTAGCTATACGTCGCCGCCGGACTACATTAAACATAAATTGAAACATTTTCTGCGAGTATTTGTACTTCCGTTCAAGAAGGGTCCGTTACGCATTTTACTTACATGCCAAAAGTAATTTACTTATTTTGGGCATATCATAAATATCCACGCCATGAGTTTTAGTTGTAACGAATTAGGCAATGAGAGCGAATATTCAATATGGAACCAGCAGCGTTAGACATAAAATCATGTAGAATAAATAGTATTTTATGTAGGCACATAGAGTGATGCCACCCGCATACATACATACATACATATATAAATAATTTCTATTATACAGCATAAGTGAATAAAATATTTAAGAGCAGGAAATAATACAGAGATCACAGACATAACGGGTGCACGGACGGATGGTTACGATCCGAGCCCCGGGAATACTCCCCCCACTCTCCCCCAGGATTTGAGGTAGCAGCTCCTGCTAAATCCCGTCTCGAAATAGCCCGCGTTTTACCCAGATGTAGGTCCGCGCAAATCCCCAAACTCCGCGCCCCAGTCGCCGACTCCCTTGCCCCCTCCCCTCCAGCGGGATTAAAGGTGAAGGCGCATCAGCGTGCCTGGGTCACACTGTTGATCACTCTTCGGCAGTGTAAGGGCCGCCCACCCGCCGGTGCGTTTCTTTCGTTTGATTCATGCCTACGATACTTGAAGGCTCTTTCTGTAAATGACTTTCAGTTTTCGCTGGGTTGTTCTCTAATTTGTAGTTTAAAATATGCGCTCGCTACGTGGTTTGAGCTGTTGATGCGCATGCTTCAGTAGCCTTGAGGAGAGCAGTTCTGTGTAGAGTGTGTGTTTTTTCTCAAAGAAAGTAACACGATCCTGAACGCCGAATACAGTCAGACTTCATTTATAATTTACACCTTTCCCCATCAAAAAGCACTCTGAATTTCTGTATTAAACTCAGCAGAGAAAGATAATGACAATCACTCTACCATTCTGGTTTCATCTGCTCTGTGGCTGTGAGCCTTTCACAGTGTCCATCAGTGTGCCTGTCAGTGAGTCTGTTACGATGAATGTCTATAAAGCTGTCACGGTGTCCATCAGTGTGTCAGTTTTGTGAGCCTGTCACTGTCTATCAGTGTGCCTATCTGTGAGCCTGTCACTGTATCCTACAGTGTGTCAGTTTTGTGAGCCTGTCACTGTCTATCAGTGTGCCTATCTGTGAGCCTGTCATTGTATCGTAGTGTATCAGTTTGGGAGCTTGTCACTGTGTCTGTCTGTGAACCTGTCACTGTGACTGTCTGTGAGCCTGTCAATGCGTCTGTCAGTGTGTCTGTTTGTGAGCCTGTCACTGTGCATCTCTGTGAGCCTGTCACTGTATCTGTCACTGTGTCTGTCAGTGTACCTCTCTGAGCCTGTCACTGTGCTTGACTGTGAGCCTGTCACTGTCTGTCACTGTTTCTGTCACTGTGTCTGTCAGTGTGCTTGTCTGTGAGCCTGTCAATTTGTGTGTCAGTGTGTCTGTCTGTGAGCCTGTCACTGTCTGTCACTGTATCTGTCACCGTGTCTGTCAGTGTGCTTGACTGTGAGACTGTCACTGTGTCTGTCAGTGTGCTTGTTGGTGAGCCTGTAACTGTGTCTGTTTGTGTGTCTGTCTGTGAGCCTGTCACTGTGCCTCACTGTGAGCCTTTCACTGTCTCCTTCAGTGTGCCTGACTGTGAGCCAGTCAGTGTGTCCATCAGTGTGTCTGTCTGTGAGCCTGTCATTGTCTGTCACTGTGCCTGTCTCTGATCCTGTCATTGTGTGTCAGTGTGCCTCAATGTGAGCCTTTCATTGTCTCCGTCAGTGTGCCTGTCTGTGAGCCTGTCACCGTGTCTGTTTGTGAGGCTGTCACTGTCTGTCACTGTGCCTATTTGTAAGCCTTTCAATGTGTCAGTCAGTCAGTTTGTGAGCCTGTCACTGTTGCTGTCTGTATGGCTGTGACTGTGCCTGTCTGTGAGCCTGTCACCGTGTCTGTTTGTGAGGCTGTCACTGTCTGTCACTGTGCCTATTTGTAAGCCTTTCAATGTGTCAGTCAGTCAGTTTGTGAGCCTGTCACTGTTGCTGTCTGTATGGCTGTGACTGTGCCTGTCTGTGAGCCTGTCACCGTGTCTGTTTGTGAGGCTGTCACTGTCTGTCACTGTGCCTATTTGTAAGCCTTTCAATGTGTCAGTCAGTCAGTTTGTGAGCCTGTCACTGTTGCTGTCTGTATGGCTGTGACTGTGCCTGTCTGTGAGCCTGTCACCGTGTCTGTTTGTGAGGCTGTCACTGTCTGTCACTGTGCCTATTTGTAAGCCTTTCAATGTGTCAGTCAGTCAGTTTGTGAGCCTGTCACTGTTGCTGTCTGTATGGCTGTGACTGTGCCTGTCTGTGAGCCTGTCACCGTGTCTGTTTGTGAGGCTGTCACTGTCTGTCACTGTGCCTATTTGTAAGCCTTTCAATGTGTCAGTCAGTCAGTTTGTGAGCCTGTCACTGTTGCTGTCTGTATGGCTGTGACTGTGCCTGTCTGTGAGCCTGTCACCGTGTCTGTTTGTGAGGCTGTCACTGTCTGTCACTGTGCCTATTTGTAAGCCTTTCAATGTGTCAGTCAGTCAGTTTGTGAGCCTGTCACTGTTGCTGTCTGTATGGCTGTGACTGTGCCTGTCTGTGAGCCTGTCACCGTGTCTGTTTGTGAGGCTGTCACTGTCTGTCACTGTGCCTATTTGTAAGCCTTTCAATGTGTCAGTCAGTCAGTTTGTGAGCCTGTCACTGTTGCTGTCTGTATGGCTGTGACTGTGCCTGTCTGTGAGCCTGTCACCGTGTCTGTTTGTGAGGCTGTCACTGTCTGTCACTGTGCCTATTTGTAAGCCTTTCAATGTGTCAGTCAGTCAGTTTGTGAGCCTGTCACTGTTGCTGTCTGTATGGCTGTGACTGTGCCTGTCTGTGAGCCTGTCACCGTGTCTGTTTGTGAGGCTGTCACTGTCTGTCACTGTGCCTATTTGTAAGCCTTTCAATGTGTCAGTCAGTCAGTTTGTGAGCCTGTCACTGTTGCTGTCTGTATGGCTGTGACTGTGCCTGTCTGTGAGCCTGTCACCGTGTCTGTTTGTGAGGCTGTCACTGTCTGTCACTGTGCCTATTTGTAAGCCTTTCAATGTGTCAGTCAGTCAGTTTGTGAGCCTGTCACTGTTGCTGTCTGTATGGCTGTGACTGTGCCTGTCTGTGAGCCTGTCACCGTGTCTGTTTGTGAGGCTGTCACTGTCTGTCACTGTGCCTATTTGTAAGCCTTTCAATGTGTCAGTCAGTCAGTTTGTGAGCCTGTCACTGTTGCTGTCTGTATGGCTGTGACTGTGCCTGTCTGTGAGCCTGTCACCGTGTCTGTTTGTGAGGCTGTCACTGTCTGTCACTGTGCCTATTTGTAAGCCTTTCAATGTGTCAGTCAGTCAGTTTGTGAGCCTGTCACTGTTGCTGTCTGTATGGCTGTGACTGTGCCTGTCTGTGAGCCTGTCACCGTGTCTGTTTGTGAGGCTGTCACTGTCTGTCACTGTGCCTATTTGTAAGCCTTTCAATGTGTCAGTCAGTCAGTTTGTGAGCCTGTCACTGTTGCTGTCTGTATGGCTGTGACTGTGCCTGTCTGTGAGCCTGTCACCGTGTCTGTTTGTGAGGCTGTCACTGTCTGTCACTGTGCCTATTTGTAAGCCTTTCAATGTGTCAGTCAGTCAGTTTGTGAGCCTGTCACTGTTGCTGTCTGTATGGCTGTGACTGTGC